TCCTCCCCTCCCCCTCCTCCCCTCCTCCTCCTCCTCCTCCCCCTCCTCCTCCTCCTCCCCTCCTCCTCCCCCTCCTCCTCCTCCTCTCCTCCTCCTCCTCCTCCTCCTCCTCCTCCTCCTCATCGGCCAGCGCCTGCCGGCGGCCAGCCTGGGCGCCGGCTGCGCCCTCGGCGCCCGCGCGGGGCACCGAGGCGACGAGCGTGCCCAGCCGCTCGTCGAGTGCCTGGATGGACCTGCGCAGCTCCTTGAGTCCCAGGCTGGTCGTGATGTCGAGGTCCATGTGAGCCAGACCCTGCATGCGGGCGATTGTGGACATCATCTTGTCGGCGTCGACCATTTGGTTGTTTTCGTCGATATCGAACACGTCGGTCAGCCTGAACTTGTTGTACTGGTTGTATTGTACATCACTACCGCCAACGCCTACGTAGTCGTCGGCGTCGATTTCGAGGTCTTTCAACATTGCTTTTGACCCAGGGTCTTGGAAAATCGCGGTCAACTCGGCAACGGTCCATCTCTGAGATTTGAACTCTACCGTCCCACCGCGCTTGCGCTCCCCACCAGGCTGACGAGGCTCGTAATTGTGGTTCGTTTGAAGATGATCACGGAACTTCTTCAGCTTACGCTTTACAGCTGTCCCTGTCCACTCGTGCTTCTTCTTGTACACGCGGTCTTCTTCTGAAATGCCCGACACGACTGTTTCTACGAAAACAGCAGTCACCACATTGAACATTCCAAGCAGCGTGAAAATCATCGTCGTGGCGTAGGTGATGTTGAAGACATGACCGTAAGCCTCGCTCAGAACCGGTACCAACGAGATCCCGCTCATGTCCGTACAATCCCCCATGATGCATCGGAATACGGTGAACATGCATTCCGAAACGGAACCGCAAAACTGGTTTCCAATCATCTTGTACATCGGGCATGCCTCGATGTCTTCTGCGAACTGCGCCAGGCGGTCAGGGAGATGCGTCAGGCGTCTCACTGTCTCATTGGCCTGCACCTCCAGGCAGTATGCGAGGAGGTTGGCATCAGTATCGTTAGGCCTCACGATCACGCGAAACGCCATGGCCATAATGGCGATCACCACCCAGATGAGCAAGGACACCCACATAAGCGAGGGCAGCCCTTTGACGAAACCAATGAGCATGTGCGTGAGATCTTTTAGCAATGATATCCGCATAACGACGCTGTCCTGGAGGACGCGTATGATCCGCAAGCCCCTGATAAACAGGGATATCTTGAGGACGCCTGTTTCCATAGCATGCCTTCCGATGCCCAAGGATAGAAAGTACACCAAAAACTGCACGCCTGTGATAATGGCGTCAATCCAATTCCAAGCAGCGCCTTCGCCCTTGAAGTAGCCACCTAGGGTCCCTGAAGTCTCACTGTGGTGTCTGATTTTTATGATCAGCTCCGCTACGAAGTAAAGGACTGTCAGACCCTCAACGAGCAGCCACAACATGTAGCTCTGCACGTGGTCGATGCTTATACCGAAATACACGAGGTTGCACATACCTACCACAGCAGTCATCATGTTGAGGCGCTCCATCGGGTTCTTGATGGCATGACTAATCACACCGTCGTCTTGTATATTAAAGAGTTGTGAGTCTACATGGTGGAACTCCCGCTGTACCAGTGTCTCTGGGAACCTCCTGGATTGGCTCTCGAACTGCTTGGAACGCTCTCCATACGACCCAAATTGCTTCTCAAGATCCCCAGCAGCGTCATCCGTCAGTTGACCACCGCGTCCGCACGACCTCTGATCCGAAAGCCAACCACTGAAATTGGGCCCGGGCGGAGTCTTTGCTCCATCTCCACCGAGAGGGACGCCTCTCAGCTGGGCGCGGAAATTCTGCTCCCCGTGGCCACTCTCCTCCCGAAGACGTGCACTGCACTCCAGCCGCAGCGCCCGATTCTCTTGCCGCAGCCCGTGGATCTCTTCCGAGAGCTCCCTGTGCAGCTCGCGGAAGCCCTCCAGCAGGATGGCGTCGACGCGCTCCTCCTCTCCTGAGGGGCAGCGATCGGGGGGACTGGCATAAAGGGGGCATGCATCGACCTGGAATCCGCGATACATCGCCTATAGATTGGCGATGGGCTCCCGATAGCGAATCCCCACGGTCCTGCGCAGGCTGGAGCTGTCCGACCCCTATCGGCGACGAATGGGCGATGGTGGGTCGATGCATCCCCCCCCTGTGCCTATCTCGGGGGCGGCCAAAAGTGAAGGGAAACTGGGACACACAAATAAATACACACAAATAAAATAATTCCCCATATTTTCCCATATTTTCTGGGTTTTTGTCTTCCCCCCCATTTTCCATATTTTCCCATATTTTCTGGGAATCGCAGATTAATTGTGTCTGTGTGTTTTTTCCCCTCCTGAAAAAGGGGGGCGTCCAAAAGGGGGGGGCACAAATCATGGCCGGCGGCATCTGCGCGGCGCAGGGGTTGGGCCAGGGACGCAATGGAATGAGAAGAGGCGCCACGAACTCTGAGGAAATGTCATGGCCCACGCCATGAGATCCTCTCCCCCGGAGTCATCACCCCCCTCCTGGCCGCCTCAGATATCACCCCCCTATCGTTGCCCCTGCTCTCCGCCGGGCCGGGGAGCCTCCCCGCTGGGTGCCGGCGCCTCTGTCGTCGGTCGTGGGCCCTCCCTGTTTCGGATCTCGCGGCCGGCAGCGCCGCGCGGTGCCATGGCTGGCGACCCCAGCCGCGGGCGGCGGCCGCGAGCCCTTGCGGTGCTCGAGCCCGTAGAAGCACAAGGGCATCAATCAAGACAGCACTGTGCTGGATTAGCTCACGATCTCGCTGGCCGGGGGAGCCGGCATGGACCAACTCACAAGCCCGTCTGATACGCATATGGGTATAAGTGGCTGCTGGGCCGCCGATGTCAACACGATGTAAGCCATATGTGGCGTAAACCATGGCAGGAAGCAGCATTCGAGGCAAAGTAAACTTGAGAAGCAAGTACCGATCCCTAGGCGATATCAGTGGCACTCAAATGAATTAATCCCCGAGGGAGGGGAACCGCCGAACGATACCGTTTATTACCCCGGCACATTAATCGGTTGAACGAATTCGCGCAATCTCATGAAAGGCCGGTTGTCTGATCGAGCAGAGAGAACAAGGAAACAACGAGAAAGAAACGAAAGAGAACGAGCAAAAGAGAGCAACATGGGAGAGTGTGCGGATATGTAGACTCCAAATCAGACCCGTTATCGAACAATTGGATGTTTCTGATATTCGGACGAGTCGACCATGCTGGGGAATGGTACCCCCCGCACCGACCGCGATATTTCAGCACCTGAACTCAGAGGAAATGAATCCCACGGGGGGGGAGGGACTGGAATTGAATTGGGAATCCTATTGGGATGCAAATGGAACCCTATTGGAATCCGAGTGGGACTCTTGGGAGCCCTAATTTGAATGCAAGTGGAACCCTAGTGGAATCCGATTGGTGTCAGATACGAATCCATATTTGGAGGAGTCATGTTGGGATCCTCTTTGAATGCCTCAGGAATCCTGGGAGGCCCGAGAAGCCTGGGGGTGGGGCATCACTTCCCGGGGGCGTGAGGCGATGCAGCTTCGCCGTAGAGGGGGGGGGGAGGAGGTCGCCGTGGTGGGCCGACTATTGGCCCCTAGGGGGCGCGGCCCTTCTCGCCGCAAAGGGGGGGAGGAAAGGAGGGAAGGAGGAGGATCGAGGAAGGGGGGGGGGAGGATCGAGGAATGGGGAAAAGGGAGGAGGGCAGAGGAGGGAGAAGGAGAAGAGGAGCTACTGTTTCTTGTCCATCTCCTCCACCCCCTTCTGACGAGTCTTAGGGTCGACCGCGCTACACCTTGGACGTCGCACAGACGAGCCAAACTGCACAAACCCATAGCGCTCTGCAGCTTCGAACGGGCCTGTCAATGGGCAGAGCGGGGGGCGTGAACGACGATGGGAGGCTGGCACTTAGTAGTGCGAGGGGGAAAATGAGGATGGGAGAGGCAGGATAATAACAGAACCCGGAGCCAGGAAGCTCCCCCCTAGGAGGACGCATAGAATATCCAGGACTTGGCAGGGACATGCATCCCCTGCGACCACGTAAATCAAAACACGGCACGGACTTGATCGTTCAGGTAGCAATGTTCATAACTCTGCGACAAAACTCAACCAATCTCTCAAGCCTTCCGCAATCGATTTTTCGCTGGTACCCACGAAGCTCCAACATGGAAACCTCTATGGTTGCTTACTTCCGCCAACTGCCGCGACACCGACGTTGGTTTCAAACAGTCAAGCACTTGCCAGCGCGACCCCAAACCGTAAGCGTGTTCACTGTGCCTGTGCGCGCTACGTGGTGCAAGCTATGTGGCGCAAGCTGCGTCGTGCAAGCTTTGGGGTCTAATTTCTGTAGTCGGAGCAATCTGGTGCAAGCTGTGTGGTGCAAGCTGGTTGGTGTGAGCTAGGTGGTGCAAAGTGTGCCGCGTGTATGTAAGCTTTGCGATTCAGGCTGTGTGGTGCAAGCTGCGTGGCGCAAGCTCTGTGGTGCACAGTCTGTGATGTAACCCGTGTCGTGCAAGCTGTGTGCTGTACGCAGTGTGGCAAGCCGTGTGGTGCAAGCTGTGTGGTGCAAGCATTACCGCCGCCCAGCGCACGAGGCGCACACGAGGCGCCCACGGGCAGGCAGCATGCGAAACCTCGGCTGATCCATTCAAGTCCGTTTCGGCTGACCCCTATGTGCTGTTTGAGGGATCTGCCCATCATCGGCAATTCCCCCGACGTGGAAGCCGTTGGGTTTGGCCACTGTCTACCACCACCCCTTCCCTCTTTGAAGGCAGAACGAGCTCTGCAACCCTTTCCTGTAGAGGGAAGCTCACCCCAGCCACATCCGTTCCTGTGAGAAATAATAGAAAGGCCTCACCACATCAATGGTCAATGGACACCTCGGGCACGTGCCGCTTGCAAACTGGATAAGTGAATTAGTCTTGGCACCGTGTTGCTCCTCCTTCTCCTAATCATCATTCTCCTTCAACTGCTCCGCGAGACGAGGGTATCCGATTGCAGCCCCCAACCGCATCTCCGGAGGGGGCAACAAGGTGGCAAGACAGAGCGAGCGAAGACGTGAGGCGGAGATCGGATGCAGATAACACCCGCGGGCTAATGTACGCGCCTTTGGAACAAGCTCGCAACGCGCAGAGCAGTCTCTGCAATATCCGAGGGTTGAGCAGCCTGGCACAAGCTCGGCTCGGGGAAATATACCCGCAAATGCATGCCAACGTGCGGCTCGATAGCAAACGTGACGTCCACGTTGGTACACTTGAAAACGAACCTGAGGTTTTTTAAAGCCACATAACGCGCGATATGTGGCTGGGCGGGTGGGTGGGCTCGCTGGCGCATAACACAGAACAGTCGCGCTCGACCGCTCGAATGTGTTTTCTGGAAGCACTGTCCCTGTTGCTAGTCTTGGTGCTGGTATAGCGACATGGCCTTGCAACTGCGATCGCCACAAGGCGCGTTCACACCGCAATGCCCGCTCCCAGCTCGCGTGCTGATGCAGCCACCTACACATGCACCACATCGCCTGTGTACAGAGCAATGGCTCGGTGCATGGAAATGCACCTGTGCACCACAGCGCCTGTGTAGACAACTGCAAGCGCGCACGCCGCAACGCCTGTGCACAACACAGCTGCGGCCACACAACCACGTCACCAGCAGCCGCGCGCAACGCGGCGACTGGCGCCTGCGTGCGCCGCGCCGTAACTTGTACACCACAGAGCCCGCGTACACTTCGAAGGGCCCGACGAAGCCGATAAGCCGAACCTCGCGTTCGTAGGGAGGGGGCGCGATCGTATCAAACTGAATCTGAAAGCTTGTTGTGGCTATTTTTTGTCGGGCCGCCTGGAAACCACCCTGGCAAGTTTTTCGAGCTGCGTGTGGCCGCGGCAACGACGATCCCTCCAGGGGGGGAGAGACCATTTGCGCGTCGAGTTCACTTGCGCCGCGTTTCGTCCGAGAAACACCTGGCCAAAGAGGCCCCCAAGAGGGTTCCGACGCGGCTCAAGACGGCCCCAAAACGGCCGAAGAAACACCCAAGATTGCACAAGGGGCTCCCCAGTGGGGGACCGCCAACCAACAGTTCGAGCCTTCCGCCCCGAGACGCCCCCCAGAGGCCACAAAGGCGCCCAAGAAACCCTTTGAGAGGTCCAAGATAAACCTGAGAGCGCGCCCAAGAGGGCAGCAGGAGGCTGGAATCCTTCCCTTCCCCTCATTGCCCTCCGCATCTGACCGTCGTCCTCCTCGTCCTCCTCGCCCTCGTCCTCCTCGGCCTCGTCCTCGTCCTCTCCTCCTCTTCCTCCTCTCCCTCCTCCTCCTCCTCCTCCTCCTCCTCCTCCTCCTCCTCCTCCTCCTCCTCCTCTTTCTCCTCTCCCCATCCCCCCTCCTCCTAACGCCAAGGGTCGGCGGCACCGGCCGTAAATCCTTCCCAATAAACTGGTCAGTAATGGGTCAGGGGGTGGTCATTCCGCTGTGGTCGGCACGGCGGTAGTGTAAGAATTGTTTCAACAAGCCGCGACGTATCACAATCACCGCCACGCAGCAGCCCACAAAAAAACACGAAAAACAAAAACAATAAAACTCTGCGAAGCCCTGTGTCTGCGTACGAATGCACCCTTGTGCCTGTGCTCGCCGCCAGCATGTACATCACAATACCCGCGTACACCACAAAGCCCGCGCACACCTCCAGGTGCCCGACGGTGTCAAACTTCAACAAAACATGGCCGGCCCGAACGTATCAAATTCAATATGAAAGTTTTTGTTTCTGGCCACGGGCACGGCCCCTGTATCCATTGCCTGCGCGCACAACGGTACCAATGTATACCACGGTGCTCGACACCACCACGCTTGTGTGCACTGTGTGCACCAGAACTGTCGCCGCAGCTGGCGTGTGCGCTATGCACACCGAACTGTTTGTCCCTTCCAATGTGAATGCGCCGCCGCGCCTGTGCGGTTGCCACAAAGCCTGCGCGCGCCGCGCGCCACGACATACCACTTAAGCACGCGCCTGCGCACACTGCAAGCACGTTGCGTGCACTACGAACAGCATACCTGTGCGCTGAGCAACAAGCCCTGCTGCAACGGGGGTGGGTGGGGCGGTTGGCTTTATGTAAATCTACTGGGTGGGTGGGTGGGTGGGAGGCCACATAACGCGCGTTGTGTGTTCGAGCAAAACCCGCAACTCGACCCGCACCCGACCTGGCCCTCCCGCGATGTGCGACCACCGACGCCAAGACAAAAAAAGCTGTGCAGTTGAGCAGGCAGGGGGTTGGAGGCGGCCGGGTGGTCTGAGCTGGCTAGGCCCCGAGACAGGTCAAGAATGGGGGGATGAAGCGGAACTCGCTCAAAATCTGTCCCCCCCAGACCCTTCCTGGGGTCCATCCGGTGCAAGTCTTCACCTCAGACACGTTTGGACGGTCCTGGGGTCCGAAAACGGCTCCATGGGACTGAACAAATAAACAAAAACATTGTCAACACACACAATTTCGAACCTGGCCCCCCCCTTCCTGCTGGCCAGGGCCAGTGCTGGGCCACCAAGCCGACTCCAAGCAAGGATCGAGTATCGTTGAACCGATCCCTATCCCCACGGGCGTGGCCTGGGCCACACTGGCCGATGTACCTCCCCAGATGAGGATATGGGCTGGTCCATTCGAGCTTCGAGGGGCATATCCCGAACTGGGGTGGTGGGACGGTGGGGATCGGGATGGGGATGGGTGTGGGGATCGGTTAAGCGATACTGCGGGAAGGCGAGCGCGGACGCGACCCTGCTCCAAGGCGAGCACGTCCCCAGTCCGCCCGAGGCCAGGCAGCGGCGGCACGTGACGTGCTGCGCGCCGAGGGCCCCATCCCCCCAGAGGTAGCCCCAGCTGTCCCGAACATGCCAGCAAGGCAGTAAGCGGGGTTCGGCCGCACAAGGCATTATAGAACGGCGGTCGCTGTGCTTCCGCAGGTGACGCACACCCTGGGAGCTGGGGGGAAGCGAGGGGGGGGAGGAAAACGGCCAAACCCCTGGGTGGGGGATGGGGGGCGCCGCCAGAGGCGGCGCCAAGGTGTTGAGACCGCCCCAGGATCACCCAGTGGGCTTGCTGGGGGCGGGCGGGGCTGCCTCCGATGGGGGCGATAAAAACCATTGCCATCCGGGAAGCGGTGGGCGGGCGAGCTCGACTCCAGCACACTCCAAGGCTTCCGTGCCGCTACGCCCAACGCTCCACGCGGGACCGCCCGCTCAGACTGCCCGCCTGGCGCAGGCGGGCGCACCCGCCACCCGGCAGAGGAACAAACTCATCCGCGTCCTCACCTTGTTGCTTCTCCTCCTTCCCCTCTACCTGTCCACTCCCCCTCCCGTCTCCCTCCTCCCTCTGCTCAGCCATCTCTCCCTCATCATCCTACGCCCCTGCATCTCCTGGTTATTGTCCCCCTCCCCCTCACCATTCCCCCCTTTGCCCCACTCCCTCACCATCCCTGGCCGCCCGCTTCTCCCTCCCTCTCTCTCCCTCCGCACCCCACCTCGTCTTTCAAATCAGCCTCCGCTACCTTGTTCTTCTCCTTCTCCTGCGAGGTAGCCAGGGGTAGTCACCGAAAGAACGAGGTGATAATGAAAACAGCTCGGGGTTGAATCCTGGTGGGACTCAAGGCAATGAAGAGAATTAGCCCCAAAAGTTTGACAACGTACCATTCTCGGCAAAACGTCTGTAGACCCACGGGGGCAATGGTGTCCAGATTTATTTGCGAGCGTTGCCATTCACGATGCTTGTCCATAGCTCCATTTGTGGGCTGTGGGCGGGTCTATGTTCAACAATGCTGATCTCGTGGTCGCCCCCTGTCGGATATTCACGTGCTTCGTGCGCCAAGCCCTTTCATGGGACACCGCCGTTAACGGAGATGCCAGCGTGGGGCCCACCGCACAGTGGTATATTGCACTCTCGAAGCGCACTCCTTGTCGTGCAAGATGTGAGGTGCAATGCACGTCTTGCAACAACAGGAATGACACGCATGCTGCGCAAGCAATGCAATCATGTGGTGGGACATACTTGCTATACGCGGTGCAACCTCTGGAACGATTTGATCTATGAACGAAGTTAACATCGCGAACTCGTATGCTCTGGCAACCGTTTCACCCACCCGCCCGCAACTCCTGGGCAAAACTCCACTAGCGCAGTGGCACGGGGACCTGTATCAGTCAGATCCATGGCTCAGGTGTGCGGGTGATTATATGGACGACGACATCGGCGACAGCTACAATGATGAAGGTGGTGGCGGCAATGACGACGAGGGCAATGACAGCGACGATGACGATGATGCCGAGGACTGCGATGATGATGGTGATGATGATGATGATGATGATGATGATAATGATGATGCTGATGATGATGATGATGATGATGATTATTATGAGGATGGTGATGCTGATCATGATGATGATGCCGATGGCAATGATGACGATGAACATGATCACGCTGGTGCTGATTATGACGATGAAGTTGAATTCGATGAAGCTGATGATGCAGCTGCGGCTAATGACGATGCTAACGATGTTGACCAGGATACTGACTATGACGATGGCGATGGTAATGCGAATGGTAGTAATGATGAGGATGCTGATTCTCAAAATGATGGTGGTGGTGATGATGAGATGATGATGCTGCTGTTGCTGCTGCCGTTGCTGCTGCAGCAGCTGGTGATGATGATGCTTAGTGATGATGATGATGCTGATGATGATAATGATGATGATGATGATGATGATGATGATGATGATGATGATGGTGATGATGAAGATGAAGATGAAGTGCGAGCGCAAGAAGTGTCTTTGTTCCGCAAGCGCTGCTTCCTCTCCATGGTTTGCTGCTCGGGCTTCCCATGGGCTTGGCTAGGTGTGCCCCGGCTTCGCCTGGTGCCCGCCCGGGGCCGCCTCGTGGGCGCCTCGAGCTGGGTGGGTGTGCCGCAGGTTCGCCCCGTGCCCGCCCGTGGCCGCCCGTGTGCGCTGGGTGGGGTGCCACGTGCGCTGGGCGTTGGCTGCACCGAGGGTGCTCCTCCTGACCGCACGTGGGCGCCTCGTGGGCGCCTCGTGAGGGTGTGCCGGTGTGCCGAGATTTTGCCGGGTGCCCGCCCGTGCCCGCCCGCGGCCGCCTCGTGGGTGCCGCGTGCGTTGGGCAGGTGTGCCAAAGTTTCGCCCGGTGCCCGCACGTGGCCTCGTGCCCTGGGCGGCCGCGCAGACTGCACTAGACAGCCTTACCACACAGCGTGCACCATGTATTGCTCCACCTGGCTTACACCACAGGGCTTGCACCAGACGGGTGGTATCGCACAGCTTGCACCACATGGCTTAGACAAGATAGTTACCACCTCAGAGCTTGGCCCAGGTAGGTTCCATCACACAGCTTATGCCGCACATGTGTTACAGAACATCGTGCAGTACGTAGCTTGCACCACGTAGCTTGAACCACACCAGCTTACAGCACATAGACTCCACCGCCACACAGCTTACACCGATTATCGTGCACAGCCTAGCTTGCACCAACCATTGGGCACGACATATCTTACGCCGCCAAGGTTGAACCACATCTGTTTCGGGGCTCACGCTCGCTAGCGCTTCACGAAAACCTATACTTGGATGCCACATGGCCATACATTCCCTGAGGCATGCGCGCGCGGGGACGCTGGCCTGTGGACCGCGTAGTGTTATGTTAGCATGGTCGCACTCCTCACAATGCCAGAATCTGGCTGCGCTGCTATGACCTCGACAAGCACGTGTGCGAAGACTGCATTGAACAACGCATGTCTGTATCCAGATGAGTCTGAAGACAAAACGTTGTTAGTGCTCGAACATGAATTGGTTGCCGAATGATTTTGACATGCGCAAGCAGGGACCAGCGCAGGAAAAAACTCGGAACCACCATGGGACAAGCAACACGACAACTATGGGACAACCGCAGGACAAGCCGCTGGGGCGAGAGTCGGAACAACCCGATTGCAAAGTGCCAAATGTAGGGCGGTGTCTGTCTCGCCCTGGCGAAGCTTCGCCTCACCCGCACGTGCGTCACGCACGACACGATTTGAGACCGAAACAGACTTTCCAGATTGGGGGCATTCCTTCGATCTCAGCCCCAAAGTCCAACACATGTGGAGCTGTCGGCAACCGCGCGCCAGATACACATGCGAAGGGTGGGACCAAGTGCTGAAAGACATGCGGCCACACGTGCATCCGATTCTCGCACAGGCTGGCAAGGCCGTGTGCAACCGTGCGGCTTTATCCAAAGCGAGGCGACTTGAGACAATCGGTCCTTGCACCCTCAGTTGGCCCGAATGCACAAGTTTGCCGAGCTGCTTCCAACCCTGGCGACGCAGGCGCCCCCCCCAAGGCCAACTACTCCTGTCTCAACTCGCCCTTCTCTCCTTGTGATACGTGCCGCCCTCGCCAACCTCGACCTCATCTCCTCCTCCTCCTCCTCCTCCTCCTCCTCTCCCTCCTCCTCCTCCTCCTCGACCTCCTCCTCCTCCTCCTCCTCCGACCTCCTCGTCTCCTCCTCCTCCTCCTCCTCTTCTCCCTCCTCCTCCTCCTCCTCGACCTCCTCCTCCTCCTCCTCGACCTCCTCCTCCTCCTCCTCCTCCTCCTCCTCCCTCCTCGTCTCCTCCTCCTCCTCCTCTTCTCCCTCCTCCTGCTCCTCCTCGACCTCCTCCTCCTCCTCCTCCTTCCTCCTCCGACCTCCTCCGACCTCCTCCACGCCGCCCGCTCCCTCGGCACGGCCTTGTCGGCGTGAGGCACCGCGGAGAACCGCCAGCCCTCCACGCCGAGCCACGACAACAGGTCGTTCGCGCGCTCCACTGAGAGGTCCTACAAGGGGGGAGCGATGAATAGGGGGCAGGGGTAGGGTTCGCATGTGGCCCCCTAATGAAGCCATCAGCGATGACACATCCTGGCGCCACTGCCTCCTCACGGTTCGCCTTCACCCTGGGAGGGCGGGGGGGGGACTTCGTGAAGCTCGTTGAACCGAAAAACAGACACACACAAACATGCGCACACACACACTCACACTAACACCGCCTAAACACCTCCTCGAACTTCAATCCTCGAACCCCGATCCTCAGAAGGAGCTGGCGAGCCTATAATGATGACTCCCCTTGGATCTGCCGGAGACGTACCCCCTATGGGAGGGAAAGGAAAGAGGAGACGTGCCCCATATGGGAGGGAAAGGACAGAGGACATTCCGAATAGGGCTGGCACGTCCAGATAGGCAGCGCTGGAGCAGGTGGCGAGAAGGATCCCCCCAAAAGAGCTGAAGCGTCGTCGAGCTCGGTGGCAGCCAGGGCGTGGGAGATCAAAATGCACCTCCCTCGTCGCAGAGGATCTTGTTTCTTCAGATGGTGGTGGCCGCCCTCCTCCTCCTCCTCTTTCCACTAGGTTCTGCTTGCGCGATCCCCCTCAAATGTCACCAACAATAGTTACTCTCTTCCTGGGCGGTACACTTCCGACACTCGGCTCTGCCCGCTGCGCCCGGTCATAGCCGCCCGCGTGCCCTGCGAAGCTCTGCCGCGGGCGCATCGCTCCTCGAGCTTCACGGTGACGGCGCTCTGACGATGGCGTTCCTGGGCAGGAGGGAGGCGGAGGAGTGGAAAGACGAAGACGAGGAGTAGGGGCGAGGAGAGAGTGAAGGAAGATATGACAGGGCCGCGGTGAATGAGACAAGGGCGAAGGGGGACGGGGCACGTCCTGCGAGCACCAGTCCGATGCTTGCAAGATGTGCTTCTCCCTTGGGGGGGAGGGATGAACAGAAGGTTTCGCGTGGACCCCATGGGTCGAGGAATGAGCATCATCCCACCAGCCCTCTGGATTGAGGTGGTCTAAGCTTTTTCCATCACCCCACCTTCTCCCCCATCGGGGAGACTTGACCACTGCTCTTTATTGATGTACACCCCCTCCCCCACACGGCCAGTGGCGAACCCGGAACCATGACAACGCCCTACCACCATCCTTGTCAAAAGGCGGCACAACATTTCCTATGCGGCAAGGCCTGAGTAATGTGCAGACGCCACGCGCTTACTGCGCACTGTTTTTGACAGGGACGGGGGGGGGCGCCGGCACATTGCCTGCTGCGCGCAAGCCCATCACCCCAATCGAAAAAAATATCCCAGTGCGACCCTACCTAGGAGTTGTAGCATCTAGGAAAGCAACATCGGCATCTACACCGACAGCTACATTAACATGCTATGCTATGTTATGCTATGATATGCTATGCTATGCTATACTGCGCTATGCTATGCTATGACATGATGCGCTATGCTAGACTATGCTATGATATGCTGCGCTATGATATGCTATGCTATGCCATGCTATGCTGTGCTATGCTATGCTGCGCTGTGCTATGCTAAGCTATGCTATGCTATGCTATGCTATGCTATGCTGCGCTATGCTAGGCCATGCTATGCTATGCTATGCTGCGCTATGCTATGCTGCGCTGTGCAATGCTATGTTATGATATGATATATATGCTATGCTATGCTGATGAGCTGAGCTGAGCTAAGCTAAGCAAAGCTAACCTATGCTCGGCTAAGCTTAGCTAAGCTAAGCTAAGCTAGGCTAGGCTAAGCTAAGCTAAGCTAAGATGAGATCAGCAACGCTAAGCTAAGGAGACGTCACTGGGGGAACCGCGGGGCGGATACTGGGGGAACCGCCCGGGGCGAGGTCCACTGCCTGGCCCCTTTAAGCTTATAAAATAAGAACCCTTCTAGGCAGAGCCTGGGTAGGGAAATACGCCACGAACTGATTGGCTGCAGAATTCTGACCATGCGTGGGAGTCCCTATGATGGGGAGTGCCCTGGCACGCGCGGCGCACCTCGCGGGCGTCGCGTACCTGGCTGGCGTTTGCTTTGGCTCCCGATGATTGTGAATCGCGGCGCTGCGGCTCGGCTTTTGCCCGCGACAGGCCACTTCACCGCTTCAAATAAAAGACCTCCCCAAGGGATGGGCGGCCAATTGCGGAAGGGCGAATGGTTCATCCCCTGATCCGCAAAGGAGAACAAGAATTGACGCGGACGAGCCACCAGCCTCACACCATGCACTCCCGATGTGAGCGCATTCAATGAGTCCGAGCCAGTGCCGCCCCCTGAACCTCTGCCGCAGACCAGGTGGCGCTCGTCGTCTTCTCTTCGCAGAGAGTCGACAACATAGTGTAATGCTGAGGGCTCGGGCACAGAATGGGCGGGCGGCACCTGCGAGGGTGGCGGCGCGACTTTCGCGGCAGCCGCCTCGCCCCGCGGACCGCGCTCCACCCAAATAGAATCGATCTTGGTGTGCAAGCCCCTGGAGATCCCCGGCCAGGAGTGGAGCGCGTCTCTGCTTCGCTGGACTCCCCCGCATCTCACCAACACATTCCTGGCCCTGTCAGTGCCCGCTGTCAGCTCCGCATCTGAGAAAGACGATGAGCCTGGGCGAATCGGAGCACACAAGCGAACACACACTTCTGATCGCGTTCCTCCAGGAACCTGCGGTCCAGACGAGACTTCCCAGGGCGCGCGCCACGCGAAGAATGTCCGACAGGTCCTCAGTGGGCTTCGCCCCTCTTGAAACTGTTGGGTGGACTTTACATTCCCAGATGCCTCCTGTCTGCTGCCGAGGCCAGCAATGGCGGCCAGCAGTGGTACGAGCTTGGCAGCGAAAACCCCCGCAGCTCTGGAAACGGCGATCTGCCGGGACTGGGCGGCAACTTTTGCAGACGCATCAGCAAGGGCATTCCCTCGCCGAAGGAGATGCCCCCCGCCATCGGTAACCTAGTCAACGTCCTGGCGTGCCTGAATTTTCATCATTTCCAGAAGCGGGAGAATAGAGCAAATCCGTTGGGCGCGTCCAGAATGCAGGCACTTGCGAAAGGTCTGCTCGTGCCACGGAAGCTCAACACAATCTACCGCGCTTTGACAATCGGGGCGAGCCGTGCTAGCGTTTGGAAGAAACCTGGCGGCGGCACAAAACACAACAAAACGGGACATTGCGCTCTGGGGGATCTGAGGGCAGGGAGGCCACGCATGCCCCCAGATGGTCAGTTCTAGCGCAGCGTCCTGGCCCAAGAAGGCATGGGCCAACCCGCTCCTGTAATCCCTGAAATGCGATGCGCCAAACACAAGCCGTCAACGATGATGTGGCCAGTGAAATCCTTGTCAGGTGTTCGCATCCGTCACCAATCTCAATGACCACACCCTCCACGAACAACGGATTGGGGAGCTCGCCCCCCGCGTGCCTCATGTGTCGCTGCACGCGAGGTTGCCATCGGACTCAGCTGCCCATTCTTGCACCTCAGGTGACGCCAGAAAACCCCCATGCAAGCAACGCGCACCGCAGCGCCAAAACCAATGCCGAAGGGCACCCTCAGCACCCCCACCAAACTCGCACTCGGCGTCGATGACGTAGCCCATGTGGCGAGCTCTGGACCCCGTGTAAATCGCATTACAAAAGAAGAATCAGGTGGGCCCTGAGAAAACCCTTCTGGAAAAGGGACAGCTTCGCGGAGCCCAACCACAACAAGACCCCGCCAAAACGAGCCCCCGCTCCCTTGTCCCATGCCAAAGCGAGCAACCAAATCTCACTCAAATATGTCCCGGGCATCCCTCGTAAAGAGCGACCTAACCATGACAGGAGACATCTGCGCGAGGTTGAATTCAGCCCCCCGGTCATCCCTGAACACGGCAAACGAGGGTATGACCCAGGCAACTCCCTCGAGCCTCCCCCATCGCACCGACGGATCCAGAGACCGAGCGCCAGGTGCGGGTTGTCTTAGAACACACCGTTCCCCACGCACCACGCAAAGAAGCGAGAGCGAAGGCGTGGGAGTGCAACTTATGACGCGCGATCCAAACTTCATTGGCTCACCTGAATATTGGAGCGATGGCCGCTCCCCACGATGGGTCATCATGGAGCAGCGTGAGGGGCGTCAGGAATCGGCCCTCGCGGCTGGGCTTCAAGGCGTTGCCGGCCGTCTGACACAAAGAATAAAGCTCAAGGCCAGTCACGCCCGCGCACAACGAGGCGCGCGCAATCATCGCAGGCGTCACGTTGAAATCGTCCCTGGGATGATCGGGCATCCCATGGAGTCCGACAAAGACCTGGCGCGTTGGCAAACATGTCACCATTACCCGCGGAACGTCATTGGCAGTCACGCAGGCATGCCGACGCGCATAAGTTCTGAGTGCCATCTAGGAGCTGAGCCACTGCAGCGCTGGCTCTGCGAGACGCAACCAGGGCGCCCGACGCCAGAGGAACCAACCCCAGACCAGCACGAACAGGAGTGACAACTCCGCCGAGGGCCCCTATGCGGCCCTGCGCACGCGGGAGGGGGGGGGAGGGGGCGTCTTCCATCAATCGCGCAAACACAGCAGAGTCTAACTTGTCATCGCGCAAATCCTCTGGAGCTCTCGACACAACAGACACGGGACACGCTATGGGGTCTGTTAGGCCGCGGCAGCTACGCTGTGCCCCAAAACTTACGACCTCGGGAGGGGAGACGCCCATCCTGAGGACCACTCCTGAAGACAACTGGAAGAGTCGCGAGTCCCCCCGCCAAGTCGGACCGCAGTGGGTACTATGTCCAGAAGCCTGGCACATGGGCCCCCCACGGCAGGCAAGAGGTCCGAGGTCCACAGGGGGCTGGGCCCTAGGACTGGCGCAGAAGACTGAGACCAACACCGAGGGGCTCGACAGACAACGCCATCGCGCGGGGGCCGCTCAGGAGACGAGGAAGGCGATCCCCCCCCTTCTCCTCCTGGCGTGGGCTCGCGGGATCCTCGCCCCCTGTGCTCTTCGGCTGCAGGGCAGGAAGGGCGGGGCACCCGTGACCAAAAGGCGTGCTGCTCCCGCTTCCACGCCGTCGCTGGAAGGGGCTTCGGCCCCTCGCGAACGTCAGGGCCACCACCTTCGGCCGCGCCCGGACGAGCCCCTGCGGCCGCAGGAGCTCGCGCAGCAGCCTGCCACGCCGCGCTGGCGCCTCGAGGCTCGACGGGACGAGCCTCGCCGTGTTCGCCGCGCTGCCGCTCGGCCGACAGATGCCCGAATCTCTCCTCTTGCTCCTGTTGGAAAGCGCGTGCTCGGTCGAAGGCGTCTCCGAGGAGCTTCCAAACAGCGCCCTGCAAAGCTTGCTTGAGCTCCGGCGACCGCTCCTCGCACCTCTCCAAGTTCACACCAGAGGTACCGAAGTCCTCCACAGCTGCGAGCCGATCGAGACGGGGCTATCCTCAGCGTCGCCGTGGAAGATGGCACCGATGTCCAGGTCAGACGCTGCGGCAGACTGGGCAGGCGTGGAAGCCGATAATTGGTCATGCAACTCTTGCACCAACTGGTTATCATCCTCCTCAGCATTGCTGGGCTCGGAACTGAGCTCCTTGATCTTCTCCTTCTGCTTGGAGTATCCTCAAACATACGGCCGTGCACCTAGCAGGCCTGGCCGGTATTCTCACGGAGCGCACGCATCTCACCGAAGGCGTTGACCTTCTGCTGGATGGGAACAGCGGGAATGGACTGAAGGCGCTTCTTCTTCTTCTTCTTCTTCTTCTCCTCTCTCTCTCTTTCTCTCTCTCTCTCTCTCTCTCGAGAGAGAGAGCTGCTGGTTACTTTTTGGGGCTCTGGCAACGTCTCCACACTGCAAGGGCAAAGACGCCAACTTGTGCATATCCTCGACCGGCGTCTCCGAGCTGGCGACCATGGCCAATGAGCCCGAATTGTCACGATCAGAGAGCGGGCAGGAACGAAGCGGGAAACGGCGGCCCGACTGCTCGGATCGATCTCCACGGGGAGGGAAGCAATCAGACTGCTCGACACCCTTACATGGCACTTTGCAATGTTTGCAGAAGTGCCACGCCGCCTTCTTTCGTTTACAGCCACAGCTCCAGCAGACCCCGAACCCTCCGCCGCGTCGAGGTGCCTTCATTCCACGGTGCTCCAGCTCGCCGTTCCGCCGACCAATCGACAGCACGAGGAGAAGCCATGCTGCTAATCTAGGGATGGAAGTTGTACCTTGTTTTCACCTCACAGGGAGGCGATCACGCCAGCACGCGGATGGTAACGTAACCAGGCCTGTCTTGGCAAAAAGCATAAGCTGGGGCTACAAAAGCGAAACCCGGGTGCTACTTGTATGGCGGGAGGGCGTGTGGGAGTTAGCGAATCCTTCGGGGGGCGGGGGGTAGCTTGACCCCTCCGCCTACCCACTCGCCTTGGGTCTGGACGGGGGATGCCCGAGGGGTTAGACCGCCCAAGAAGGCCTCAGCGAGACGACAAGCAAAACATGGATTGTTCGAAGGTTTGGGGCCATGTTCGCCTACTTTGGAAGCAACGCTAATTGAGCCCCGCCACCCTGTTTGGGACCGATCGCCTCCAAGAAGGCACCACCACGGCCCGGACCGCACCCACGAGAGCCCCTAGAGGGCCCCAAGAGGAGGCGCCCAAGAGGCCCCATGAGCCCCCCAAGAGGCCCCCAAGAGGCACCAAGAGGTTCTTCAGAGGCCCCCAAAACGCTCTCCCAAGAGCTGGCAAGAGGGGCGCAAGAGGACCCATGAGATCTCTCAGAGTTCAGGACTGTTCCGCGTGGCATCGTGCCTGGGGCTGGTGGGGGGATGCGCGAAGCGTTGAGAACATTGACCTGCCATGGTCATGCCTCCCTGATAATCCAAGGACAATAGCACGCCAAGCCCAGCAGCCCTCTGGGCGTGAGTGGTTTTGCTAGTTTCCTCCCTCTTTCCCTCCGGGGACGGGTTTACCCCTCCCCCCGCTGGACCTGGACGGGGCGTTTCGCGAGCAGTCAGAGCGTCCAAGCTGGCCTCAGCGAAAAACCAAAATAGCTGATTTGACTCAGGTGTTGGCCCAATCTGGGCCTGCTGCAGGGGGAGGGGGCTCACTGACCCCCCCCTTCTTTGATAGATCATCACCAAGATGGCCTCAAGATAGCCCCCGAGGCTCCCAAGAGTGCCCGAAGAGTGCCCCAAGAGGGCCCCAAGATGCGCCCAGGAGGCGCCCAGGAGGCGTCAAGATGTCCCCAAGAGGCCCCCAAGAGGCTCCCAAGAGACCCCCAATAGGCCCCACGATGCTCCCCCGAGGCATCCGTAACGCTTCAGAGGGCCGCCATGACCGCCTAGAGGGCCCCCAAGACGCCCCTATCAGGCCCAGAAGAGGCTCTCGAGGGACATCCGAATGGACTCCGAGAGTCATCCAAGAAGCCTCTGGCCTTTCTGTTCGCCCTCCTCCTCTTCCTCTTCCTAATCCGCGTAATCCTCCTCCTCCCAACTCCATTCGCCCTCCTCCCTCCTCCCCCTCCCCCTTCTCCTCCTCCTGCTCCACATCCTCCTTTGGATCCTCCTCTATCCTTTCCCTCCTGGGCAATGAATTGCCCAGATGAGGCATGCTCCCCCGCAGGCCTGATCTGGGCAACTCGCCTGGACATCGTTTCCGGATGGGCTGGTGGGGTTACGCGAAGCGACTGAAATATAGTCTCCTTCTGCGACTGCATTCCCATCGAAGCCGTACAAACAATGAAAGACATGGCAATCAGACAGTGCGGGCAAGCAAGGAGCTGACATGCAGCACGCAGGGCTCAACGTGGATCGGGAAGCGGTTCCCTACCCCTTTGCGACGAGGTCGCACGAGAACAGCCGCTCGGAACAGAGACCAATTCAGATCAGATGGCAGAGCAGATGGCCACCGAACCAAGAGCACTGGAAACGAGGTCCTGCCAGAGGTCGAGCTCCCTGGTCGCATCCCGCAAGCTCTCAAGAGCTGCGCCGCCTCGGCCCTTCCACCCGACCACCCCCTGGACGACTGACTGCGCCACCGACGCGTGCGCGAGAGGGGCGGATGTCAGGCTGGCCTTCCAGACCGTTCTCTCCAATCAACTCGAGAACTACCAGGGAACCGAGAAAGCAGCGGGCGGAATGGGGCAGCCCTGGCAGGACAATATTCTGCCAGATCGAATCTGCAACACAGGTTACTCTCCTCCGTCGGCGGCTGCAAGCCCCAACGTGCGCGTCCTAGAATTTAACAGCAAATCACTTGTCGCAGCCATTGCCAGTTGTTGTTTTGTCCCTCAATGCGCGAAATGTGTGGTGCAGTGTGGATTCGGTATAACATATGCGTTTCTGAATATCTGTGCACTTGAAGAATGAAACTTATGCGGTGCAACATGTGCGGTGCATGCTGAGGGGTGCAATCTACGAGGGGTGCGCTACACGAAATACACTCTACGTGGTGCACCCAACTTCGACCGTGCTGTAATCGTCAACTCCACTGCTCGTGCGCACATCCCATCTGACCACCCGCAACCTGTTTGGCAAAACCCATTCGGCCATGACTGTGGCTCCCGGTTGGAACTTGCTAGCGCGTCTCCGCGGCCGCGCTGGCGCGCGCGCAGGCTCACAACGCGACCAGCTGTTTTGGCACAGCTGATGCGGTCTTCGATGGCGCTGGATGATGGGAACTTCCCAGCGCGTGATACAGGCCGTGCTGGCACGCGGGCACTTCACTGCGGGTCGGTGACTGGGGCGTGCGCGATATCGTTACAACGTCGTCAACGACACCAACGATGATGATAGTAGCAACGGTGGTGGCGACGATGACGATGACGACGGCACGGCCAATGACGGCGACGATGCTGGTAACGACGGTGACGACGATGACGTCCATGTGCCGATGAAGAAAATTATTCAGGTGACGATGGCGGCAATGTCGGAAATTGACGATGACGATCACAGCGGTGATGAGATGGCGCTGGTAACAGTGATGAGGAAGTACACGCGCAGAAATTAATGCAATCTGGCAGGCCTGGTGTTTCTTATGGTGCAACGCGTCGTGCACTAATGGTCGGATTTCGACACGCGCGCGCGTGGCGGCGCGCGTATAGGGCCTGGATGATCGGAGGTGAGGGGGTGAGATCGCAATTGAACGGAGAGCCCCCCACCGGGAAATCGGTTTCGGGTGTCGCGCGTGCGGGCGAGGCGAAGATACGTGGGCGCCCGAGAGGAATGATGCCGCCGTGGCTAGGGGCTGAGGAGCCGGTTGTCCGCCCCTCCCTCCAAAGGCGCGCGGTGGCCAGGGGTGTCCCGTCGGTGGCGCGGGGTGTCCCGCGTCTGTGGCGCGGGGTGTCCCGCGCGGTGGCGCGGGGTGTCGACGAGATCGATCGTGAGCTCGATCGATGGTGAGATCGCTTGTGAGATCTATAGTGGGATCGACATTGAGATCGATAATGCGATTGGTTGCGAGATCGATTGGAAGATCGATTGTGAGACCTGAGACCGGTCGTGAGAACTGTTGTGAGATCGATCGTGGGTCCCAATGTGAGATCGATAGTGAGTTCGATTGCTAGATCGATGGCGAGATCGATGGGGAGATTGGTATTAAGATCTGTCGTGCGATCGATCGTGAGACCGGTTGTGAGATCGGTAGTGGGTTCGACTGTCATGTCAAAAACGAGGTCGATTGTGAGATCGATAGTGATATCTGTCATGAGACCGATCTTGAGATAGATTGTGAGATCAATCGTGAGATTAATTATGAGATAACAAGTTTGATCGATGTGGTATCGACTGGATGCAACGTTCGTTCCCCCTCCCCCCCCAGTCTCCATATCACCCAAAGGCTGGTCGTATAGGTGTGAATTGATACGGATTCGTGCACATGGCAACTGCTAAATCAACGTGGATGCACCGCGTCGTGGCATGAGAATGCGGGTCTGGACGAGAATCAGAAATGCCTACAGTATCCGATGGTTTCAACACATGCGCGCGGGCAAAACATTTGCGTGATTTGCACTGACAGACATAACGGTATTGGAGGTTGCGATGTTGAAGTTCTGGCAGTACTATTTGTTGTGTGGTCTGGTGTGATGCCGAAATATGCGCGCGTGTGTGGACTTCGCAGTATTTGTTATAACAAGTTATTGAAAACACATCTTCAACAAAAAACGAGTGTGCCCGCATAGTATTATTTGAGTGAGGGAGGTCTCGATACTTACTGGTTGGCCTGGGGCGGTATGCTTCCACACGGACAATGGTAGATTGAGCAGAATCGCGTGTGAATCCCACCAGCCGTCTGGGTGGAGGTGCCATAGCGAATTCCTCTCCTCCCTCTTCGCAAACCCCTCCTCCCCCTGCTCGGGAGATGGGCATACCCCTGCCCCCGAATAATGCATATCCCCTCCCACATGGGGGGCCAAAAAATATACACCACCACCACCTCCCTCCCCCCCTCCCTCTCGCTGGACAGAGGAGAGGGGAGGAATCGACGTGGTGGTGGTGGATATTCTTTGGGTCCCCTCCCACACCCGACCGGCGACAAACAAGGGGCAATGAACCCCGCCCCGCCCTCCCCGTCAAACTCTCCCGGGGCCCGCGAGCACTGTGCCGAGTGGTTCGACACGGGCGGCGGGGGGGCGCCAGGCAGGTGGCATGCCGTGCGCAGGACCGCAACCCCCGTCGGGAAACAAGGCAGACTGCACGTCGCGGACGCATCCGGATCCTCCTCCTCCTCCTCCTCCTCCAACTCCTCCTCCTTCTCCTCCTCCTCCTCCTCCTCCTCCTCCTCCCCTCCTCCTCCTCCTCCTCCTCCTCCTCCTCCTCCTCCTCCTCCTCCTCCTCCTCCTCCTCCTCCTCCTGCGATCACTTTGCGTTGGTTTTTGACCAGGCCGGCGGGGACGCTGGCATAGTGTCTGCTGTGTGCAGCCCCGTCAGACATCATGATGGCCACTGCGCCGCCTGGCCATGGCTCGGACGTCCATTCCCTGTGCTTTTTGTTCGGTTTCGTGCGTGGCTTTTTCGCCAAATGATCAAGGATGCTCCTCGATGGTCCTCGCCGAAGGAAGACATGCACACGTCCGAGCGATGCCAAGCCGCGACTTGGCACTCGCCTTCGACAAGAATGGGGGGGGGGGGCCGACGTGTTCCCCGACGTGCGCGGCCGCACCTGGCCCACTCTGTGCGTGCCCCGAACGCGGCGCACTTGCCGCGGCTGGAGGAGGAGGAGGAGGAGGAGGAGGAGGAGGAGGAGGAGGAGGAGGAGGAGGGTGGCGCTCTTGATGCACGTGGAGCACTTGGCGCGTCTGGCTCACCAGGCGTGCCTGGCACGCTTGGGCCCCAGGGCAACCTGGCGCGCCTGGCACGCGTGGCGCACCTCTTTGGCTCAAGAGGCAGGCTTCACTTCACAGCTTGGGCATGTGCACGGCTTCTTCTCGGCGACATCAGCGGAGTTCACGACGTCCGTGGAAGCAACCAACGAAGCCATAAGACGGCCCGTGAGGCGCCCGACAGGCCCCGAAGATTAACGCAAGAGGCGTACCAAATACGACAGGAGGAGACTGACTGGGATTGGGCATCTCCTCTCCCCGTGGTTACCCCGAGTCCCCAAACAGGTTCCATGGAGTTCCAAAGAACCTCACCAAAGACAAGTGCCCCTAAGGGGGTCTCCAATGGCCCCGGAAAGATGAAACTCACATCCAACAAAAGCGACATATTCCAACCTTTCCCTAGACGAACCTCCATCCAAGTGAGGTCGGAAATTTGAAGGGCGCGGGTATTTCTGAAAACCTGATGGGTCCCGCACGCATCAGTTGCGTGATGCTCAGATGTTGCATCGCAAAATCCGAGTGCTGCCGCATACACATCGCATGCGTGATAATTGAACTGCCAACCGCGTGGCATTTGCCGAGCACGGGCCAGGGCGCATACGGACCAATTGCATGCTTCCAAGCACAGGTGCAGCACCCGATTGTTGATGATGAAGTCGCGTAACACACAAGTTGCGGTATTATTCGTGTCGTCTGCACAGGTTGCTGGACCATCGTGCTTTCCTCGTGAGGTCGCATGTGTACTTAATACCAATTATGTTGCATTCGCGTTTCGTACCAATTTCGTCGACGTTGTCAAAATATGGCCACGCCCCTGCAAGGCCCCAAAAACATTCCGCTACACCCGCACCACAAGACCCTCAGTATTCACAGTCATGTTCCTGGGGGTCCTCGGGGGGACCACTCCAGGAACAGACCTTGGGAGGTTGAGGGACTGCTGGAGGGACAACTTTGAAGACGCATGGAGACATTCACATCCAAAGAAAACACAGCACTCTGTGGCGTCGTCCTGGCGGTTTTGCATGGGACCTATAAGCTAACATTATGGGGAAATACGATGGGAAGACATATGAGAACATGCAAATGAAAACGCAGGATTCCTATCAATCTTCCTACAAACACTCCTTGGTAACTCTCCATGCTATACCTGGGATTGCCCAGTTACTTTCGACAGTGCCCCCTGCTCCATTGTGGGACGAGCCAGGGGACGCCGGATACCCGTTATCTGCTCTGGCACGTCGCAGCACCAGAAACGATCGCGGGTCTTGCTAGAGCAGATGCGGCCTTGCATGTGTTCGTTTGAACACGAACGCGTCTGGGTCCCATGCCGCGAGTGCCTCCTCGTTCGGGGGGTGCGCCGAGCATATGTATTCTGACATGTCTGTTTTGGCTTTTACACATGTATTCGCACACGTTGCCACAGCCTGCGGCCCACCTGTGCCCTCGCAGGATTGGCGCAACGAGGCTGACTGCATGCACCTGCGCACGCACATGTGGGAGGACGCGGGGATGGATGTGCCTCGCAAGACGCATGCAGCGGACGCTTGCGTTACCCGAGCACTGTATGCTGCAAGTCTGCATTCTCCCTGGCGTCGCACTTGCAAACGGAGCATGGGCCACTGCCCCGCCAGTGCCCCCAGCTGGTGAAAACGCATGGGGTTGCAGAGCTCCAGGATCTGACGCGGCCAGACTCCGCTGCGAACTGAGGATGAACTTGGCGCACGGGAAAACCTTGGGAGGAGGGAGTGGAGGAGGGCCTCCTGCAAAGCCCGACGCCTGTGATGCAATGGCACAACGACGGGTAGGAGGAAGTGGTGGGACGCGGGCATGAGCGGATGCGGTGCTCCTGGAAGGAGGAGGAGGGGAGGAATAAGGACAAGTAACGATGGAGGAGAAGGCCTCCTCTCCTATCTCCTGCTATGAGTAAAGTCTCCGCCAGAAGGGAAAACAAGAGGGTATCATTCGGAGCGCGTCCGCGAACTCAACATGCGTGACTACATACCGCAGTCGGCGCGTGCCCTTCCAGGCTACGCCGACAACGGCTGTGAACATCCAAGTCGCATGAGCGGAACTAGAGGAGGTGAAGGATGAAAAACCACATAAGGACGATACGAATAAACGCTCGTACCGCAAGGACACCTTCAATCCACTGTGAGCAAACGCGTGGTTCCCATGAGCGCGCATCACACCCTCACGGCTTTCAGAATTCACCAGCTGGGAGGCCCACGCACTTTTTGCGTCGGCGGCTGGGCAGAGGGTGACTGCTCCGGCGACCTGGCATCAGGGGGCGCACTGTATGCAAATTAATGCTGCGGTGCAAGAGGGAGGAGGCCCCGGCGCGACGGGGAGGGGACGCCGGGCCCGCTCAGGCAAGTCACTCTATGCGGCAGGGGGAAGCGTCGTGGGGGGGGGCAGCAGCGGCGCTGAGCAGCTGCTGGTGGGGGGACGGCAGCCCAGCGGCGGCCGGGCGGGCCACAGGGGGAGCAGCGCAGGCGAAGCGGAGACCACACCAATGTGGGCCAGCAGAACTGACGGTCCCAGGGATGGGCCAAAGCGCCGAAACCTGGGAGCCTGCGAGGCGCGGCGGGAGGCGTAAAGGGCAGGTCGAAGGCTGCCACGAGAGCGCCCCGAAAAGCGACACCCGCAGGCCGGCGTGAGGGCGAGGGACGAAAGGCCAACGGGCAAGTAACCAAAAGTAACCATGAAGGGACAAAGTCCGTGCAAGACAAAACGAGTTGGGCGGGGGCTAATCCGAAGAAGAGCCCCCGCGGTGAGGAAGGACGGTTGGGCGGCGCGCCCGCCTGCGCCAGCAGGTGGGCGGGCGAGCGGAGACCAGGGGGCCTTCGAGGCGCGGCGGGAGGCGAGAAGGGCGAGGCGGCGGTAGGCCGAGCGAGGCGCCATGGCGCGGCAGGCGCTGGCCGGCGGGCGGCAGCTGAAAAGGAATGACCACGCCGAGAGGGGGGAGCGGCGCGGGGCCCCGGGAGCGCCGGCGGGGGCGCCGAGGCCGGAGGGGCCCACGAGGCGCACGGCAGGAGGGCGGCGCGAGGCGCCGCAGGAGCGCGGCAGCGCCCCACTCACCAGCAACCGACATGGACAAGAGGCCTAAAAGCCGGGCGGGACCGAAATGGACAGAAGACCGACAGGGACAAAAGACCGAAGGGGACAAAAGACCGAAATGGACAAAAGACCCCATTCACCAGCAACCGAGATGGACAAAAGACCGAAACGGACCGAAATGGACAAAAGGGCCCCGGCCAGGGGCAGCCGGGGCCGCCCGGCCGGCACGAGGCAGGGCAAAGCCGCGGAGGATGCCACAGGCAGGGCCCGGGCAAGACCTGCAGGAGGCCGGCGACCCCCCCGCCAAAGCCCCGGGGCCAAGGGTGGGCGGCAAGCCCAGCCCACCGAGGCGCGGAGCAGCCACTCCCGGGAGGGGCGGCGCCCTGGGCAGCGGCAAAGAAGCCGCAGAGGAGCCGCCCCTCTTGCCCCCGCGGAGTTGCACGGAGGAGCGGCAGGGCGACGCAGTGCTCGGGGGAGCACCGCGGAAGCGGCAGCCGCGGGGCCAGAAGCGCCGGGCGGCGGAGGGAGGCAGACCCCGAGCGGAAGCTGGAGGTCAGCGGGGGGGCACCGAGTATAGGTGAAGCGTAGCGGAAAGAGTGCTGCGAAGGCGAGGGCGGGAGGAGGCCAGGTAGGCCGGGTAGGCCACTACCCAAAACCCAGGAACGCCAGGCTGAGAAGAGGTGACAGTAGCGTGGCAGCCGCGGGGGGGCTACCGGCGGTGGCTGCTCGAGGCTGACTGGCGCTGACGAATGGGATCGTTTCTGGACCAGGACGAATTGGCAGGACGCTTGCCTTTCCCCTGTACCACACACACACACACCTATACTCCGCCTGGTGGGTAACAGTGGGGGCTTCGTGGGCGCCGAAGGCGCCCCGTGCATGGTTGGGTGTGTCGAGGTTTCGCATGGTGGGCGGCCGTGTTCGCTGCGTGGGCTCCTCCACAAAGATTTCACACAGCATAGCCTGCCCTGCATAGCTTGCACGGCAGATAGCGAGCAACCCATAGCTGACACCACCGATCTTGCGCCACGGGAAAAAACAACGCATAACTTCGTCTGCAACTTTACCCTGGAGGTGAAGGTCTTCCACAGGACGTGGCATAGGTCGTCAAAACAATTCGCCACATAGCGCGGACCACGAAAATAGCTTGCACACGCAGGGTGCAAGAGCTGCTTGGGGTCAACGCTGGCAAACGCACACAAACACACATACACACATGCGAGCCCCCCCCCCAGGACCCCATCATGAGAGAGAGGGACCGAGACCGAGAGAGAACGAGCGAGAAAGTGTGTGTGTGTGTGTGTGTGTTGCGAGAGTGGCTGAGAGACTGGGAGAGGGGAGTGGAAAGAGAGAAAGAGAGAGAGAAAGAGAGAAAGAGAGAGAGAGAGAGAGCGAGGGACTGCTTCAGTCCTCCTTCTCCCACCCCCTCCAACTGTATCTGCCTCATCCTCGTTCACCCTCCCTCCTCTTTCCTCGCCTTCCCTGTCGTAGACAACCATTCGACTCTCTCTCTCTCTCTCTCGTTCTCTCCTTCGCTATCCCCCCCTCTCTGAGCTCTACAAGATACGCAATACCCAGAAAGAACTTCGGGATCCTGGGCGGGCGGGGGGCAGAGCACGGCGGGCCGGGCTCCTGCCTGGCGCTCCCGCCGGCCTTTGGCCCTCCCCCGCCCGGGATACCGAAAACGTGTGCTTGTGTCGAGCTACTGCTTGTCCCACGTGCTTGATGCGGTAGAACCACAGGTTTCGTCGAGCAACATTCAGGAAACCTGTGAAGGTCATTGAAAAGGAAATATCAAGCCCAATAGGCTAGCAGAAATCCTTGTGGCTCGACCAGAGGCCATGATACCTCGCGCGAAAATGAAATCCTCCTCCGTCTCCGACCCGCTTCCCTGCCGCCTTCCACCGCTTGGTATCCCGCAAACTTGGGAGCTGTTCTTTTGCAATGTCACATGGTGGTTTTGACGGTGGTTGGTCGTGGTAAAGACCCAAATAAAACTAGCGCGACGGATCGGCACTCACTCCTCCGACCCATCCCTCACCCTCTCTCCTTCCTTCTCTCTCTCTTTCTCTCTCCCCCTCTCTCTCTCTCTCTCTCTTTGAACGTCTCAAAACTAATGAATACCAGCTCCCCCACACAAGGGAGCAATGCGAACACAATATATTCCTCTCTCTCTCTGTCTCTGCGTTTCCTTAGATGTTCTTTCGTTATGTATTTGTTTTGTTTTTCTCTCTCTCTCTCTGTTCCCTCCCTTCTCCCTATCTCTCTCCCCCCATATCTCTCTCTCTATCTCTTTCCCCCCCCTCCTCCTCCGTTTCTCCCTCATTCACCCTGCTCCTCCTACTCGTCTGCTTTCGCATATGCGTCAACACCTACATCAACAACTTCGTTTAAACCGCTCGGGCTTGCGTATGTGAAGATTGCATCCTCCGGGGGGGAAGCAACCATACATATTATATAGTTATATGCGTGTGTAGATTGTAGAGTGTATGCGCGTAGATGCGTGTACACATGCATATGTATGTATAGCCACTGCGTATACATGTGTATGTGTATGATGTGTGCATATACATGTATATATATACACATATATATATATATATATATATATATATGTATATGTATATGTATACAGATGAATGTGTCATAAACACTTCTACTCATACTAAATTTACAAGCATGTATACATCAACACGCACATGCCGTAAGGAACATCTGCGGGGCAACAAAGGCATGACTCTCTTCTTCCTCGTGCCGGCTGTAGTTCCTCATCGCAACGGGCTTCGCTCGCTCATCATTCCACCAGGGGCTGCCGACTGTCTCCGAAAAGGAGCAGGCGTACTCGAACTATACCCCCGCCAACGAAGGAAATATCACAGACTGATGCCTGTCATTCTTTCCTGCCAGGGCACGACGCACCCTTGTAGAGTTATGGGCATCGAGCCGCAGAAACACTAGCAACAGCAGGAGCGATTGTAGTATGAATTAGTCTACCACCAACAACAACATCCGAACATGATTAATCAAGATCAACAGAAACTTCTGACGCACGGACACCCATCGCTGACGCACGGAGCGCGCCAGGGGCTGCGGCACCAGAGGCGCCGCAGGGGGTCCAGCGCCGATCCAAGCAATCCGCGCAGGACTCCAGACTCTCATATGTATGTACATGTTAGATGTTCTTCTTCGAACCATGGGGGAATGTACTTTGGAGAATCCGCGAGCAGCGGAATTGCATGCGGCGCGGCCTTCCTGAAGAAGTCGAGCTGGCGTCGAGATGTATGCCTCGTTTCCTGCGGGGCCATTGCGGCACTGTGTGTGCGCAACAGTACAGGCACGCAATCAGGACAACTGGCAACTGCGAAAAATGCTGCCTAAGTGCACGCGTGTGCGACGAGAGGCAGAAGCATCATACGCATTCTCGCGCACTCTGCGTTCCATATTAAACATCGAACGCGCTGCTCTATGGCCAGTCCACGGGGCGACACGTGCTCCAGAAGTAGCTCCAACTACAGCTCCAGCCCAGCTAGAGTGACCCTATCTGTTTCCACGCCCTCATCGGGACGGAGATCAAAATACAGCTCTCGCGAGGGGAACCATGTCAAGCCCACCTCGGCTCACCTCCCATGTGAATCGCGCCCCACAGGGAGCTCAAACTACAGCTCCAGCGGTGGTGACCCTATCTGGTTCCACGCCCGCTTCAGCGAACCCCACGTGGATCGTACCCTTTAGTCGTGCACCATGAGACGCTTCAACTACAGCTCCAGCAAGGGTGTCCCGATCTGCTTACTCTTCGATGCCGGCGCATCTATGATGAGGATCGCGGCCCACAGGAAGCTCCACCTGCGGCCCCAGTGGGAGCCTCCCTATGCGCCAGCTTCGGACACTTCGGCACGCCCTCACGCCAATCGTGCCCCTTGGGAGCTCCACCTACGGCCGCAACGAGCGCGTACCTACTCAGTCCACGCTTGACTCCGGCATCTGTCACGCAGACCGTGCTACGCAAAGAGATCCAACGACGGTTCTAGGGCGTGCGTTCACACGGCGGTCCCACACCTTTCGACACACCCATCACAGAGAGGCTGTTCCGTAGTTCACGTCCGCGTGCAAATGACCAAGTCCACTTCGGCGGCCCCCTGCCCTCTTCGTGCCCCCCTCTCCGAAGAATGCAGTGTTCCCCAATCGGCCATTTCAATATGTGAGGGGCTTGCCGCTTGCCAAGATCCTTTCCCCCTGCTGCGCATGTTCTGTCACCCCTCGGCTAGCTGGACATCCTCCTTCAACTCCTCTTTCCCCTCCAGGAGGAGTGCGGCGCACTGCTACTTCACGCTCAGGACAAGGTCAACGGCAGAGAATGGGACGGCGGGTCGAGTGGCAGGGAGGATAAATGTTTAGAGGTGAACGGATGCGGAAGCCGACGGCCACGTCAGCGAGGACGGCCACGAAAAAGACAAATACAACGACGATGATGATGATGATGATGATGATGATGATGATGATGATGATGATGATGATGATGATGATGATGATGATGATGATGACGATGGTGATGATGGTGATGGTGGTGATGATTATTATTACGATGATGGCGACGATGCTTTGGGGACAGCATGCCAAACATTGATCTAAACGGGCCCAAACCTCAAATGATACGCAACGGCAACGGAATGGCCTCTGCAATAATCACGCAATGAATTTTCTAGCGGTGGGGGCACATCGAATATAATGATAACGACAATGAGACCGCGATGCTCTGACACCGCGCGTGCAAGCCGCCTCGAAGCCAATGATCGATGCGTTTCCCTCGTTGAAGGTGCCGATCACGTTTCGCATGACCTTACACGTTGCTGCAGCACTCGGAGATAAACATGTATAACCAGATGTGCCAGAAACCCTTTTCAGTGCCCAGAAGTTTGGCACTAGAAGGCGTGACCTATGCATGCAGACCGTAGATCGTGGCAGATGAATCCCACAACGAATGCGCTCGTTAATGTCCCAACCTGCCTTTAACGGGCTGCCCCGGTTTCCCGCTCCCAGAATTCGGCATTTTTCCACGCGCGCACCACCCAAGCATACTGGCCGCTTTGCCCTCTCGGATGCAGTCAAGGCACTGTTCCTTGGCGCCGTGCCATAACGTCCGCGCACCAGAGTCAACAACCGATGCCAGAAATGCTTGCCTCTAGGCAACGAGAAAAACTACGAGAGGGAAAGAGCAGAAACAGCAGCAGCAGCAGCAACGCTGCAAACTGATCAACAATTCCGGACATGACAACACAAGCACACACACACACACGTGTTGGAGTCGCGGCAACGCACGCGGCGGCGCGGCGCAGGGAAATTCAATCGGAAAGCGCGGACGGGGCCATCTCACGCAGCGTGGAGAAGCTTCATCCACTTACGCACAGGCTCCTGGATACTCACATGTGGATACGTCGTGCTGGGCGTGCTGAGAGAGCCAAGACAATGCCTTGTGATGGCCCTCGCAAACGTTCAGTGCACCGGCCTTTCTGACTGTATTCGACCTCCCCTCTTATTCAGAGGCGCCCACCCCGAAACGAGAACACTCGATCTGGAGAGCGATAGACGGACGACAGCAGGCAGCGCGGGCCGTCTGCATTGCGCAGAGCAGGTGCCGCTGGGATATTGGCCTCGAGCGGCGTCTTTACACTGGCATTGGAGGTCCGACTCAAATTCAGCAGGATAACGTAAAAGCACTATATTCCTCATCCTCCTTCTCCTCGTCGTCGTCCCCTGCATCACCCATCCAGGACGGTTAGCGGACCGATCTCAAGTAGAACCCAAGCCATCCAATCCATTACGAAGGCCGAGTGCGTCTCTGATCGATAAACCTGTCAATTGCCCTAGCGCCTGGCTGCGGGGACAGACATAACATCTTTGTCAACCATGGTGTCAAGGAATGATGGCCCCTTCTGAGTACTGTGACATGGTGACTTGGAATCGACTGCTGTATTGACAGATCGGTCGGCGACACCGCACCCTTCCCAAATGATGTAGAATCACGAAATGGTAAACCGAGGTCCGCTTGTCTGGCGTAACCAACCAGGGTACATTCGTTACCAACCTATCTCTGTGAGGAGCACGCCGCGTAAGGGAAACCATGAGAACATGTCAACCAAGACCCCCACTTCCCACCACTATCATGCCGGAATAAAGACCACGCTTCCCAACAACCAGTTCGGATGATTAGCAACATTGTCGCAACCATGTGGGGAACGCTAAGTGTTGGGGAATAATTCATATTGGACCAATACACAATGATATACTCTCCTCGTCGGACGAGAGTATGGTCAACTATCTGTCTCGCAGACAAATCCGACCTGGCCCCGTGAACAAAAGTATACAGCTTCACGGGTTTCGCAAAGTTAGCAAACAAAAACCTCTCATATGTTGAGAAACAAAGATCCAAGGCCCTCCTGGGTTTAGTGTTTAGACTACCACTCTAACGAACCGTGCTGAACTGTTACTGCGGAGTAACAAGCCGAAGTCCATGACGGACGGGAGGGCCCGTACAGTGCACATCGAGACTGTATAGTGTACACTTTACGTCGAAATGTGTGGGGTTCTCTTGATTGCAAGTGCATTTTCTCTCTCTCTCTCTCTCTCTCTCTATATATAGATGTGTGTATGGTCCCACCCGATGGTGTCGACTGCTCTCGACTGGGCGTTGGAGAAGCAAAGGAGCGGGGAAAGGTGATGGAAGAGGGAAGAGCGGAGAGGGAAGGCGGAGTGGAGAGAGGAGAGGGAAATAGGAGGAGGAGCAAGAGACAGATCGAAGAGAGCTAAGAGGAGAATCAGCAGGACGAGAAAGAGAAACGGCAGCGAAACTATTGAGGTAGGTCAAGGAGAAAAGGGACCGTGATGAGCCGAGGGGACGATGGGGAGGAACACATCTGTTCATGAACGTGCTGGTGATAATGATGATGGTGATGGTGATGATGATGATGATGATGATGATGATGATGATGATGATGATGATGATGGCGCGATGACGATAGCAATGGCAGGAGGGAGCCGGCTCGGTTTCCTTACAAACACCTACACCCCCTAACCCGGCACATCCCTAACCTGACCTGGACACTGCGCCAAAGGAAACCTGACCCATTGAAGCTAACCTGACCAAGGGCTCGGCGACACCTCTGACACCGGCGCCCAGGCGGCAACAACATGTTCGGTCCACGCAGAGGCTTGAGCACCATTCCTACACAAGCGCCTCGCCAAAATGCAAATATCATACCCACTTCGCGCGGGCCGGGCTCGGGGTCACTGAGGTCGGGGTGACATTAGGTGGGGTAGTCCACCATAGGCGGGTGGGGGGGTATACAGGCTGGATGGAAAATACTAGTGGGGCTCCAAGAGAAGATAGGGGACATAAGGAAATCAGGGTCACAAGGACTTGTGCCAGCGGAATTTAGTTTGGCGTGGGCCAGGGGGGAAGGCGGCACTTGGGATCAGAGGCAGGAGGAAGCAGAGGCAACAGGACAGGGGGCACAAGGGACCGGGGCAGGAGGACTGGGGGTCAGGGGGCTGGATGGAGAAGGGCAGGAAAACTCTGGGGCATGATGGCTGGGAGGAGAAAATGCAATACGGCTTGTTTGCAATCGGGACGGGAGGGAGGAGCCGATGAGAAACAGGCAGTGAAAGGAGGACGGAGCGAGTTGAGATGGTCAGGGTTTTTGTCCTGTGAGCGGGCCTCGTCTGCCAACCAGGTTCTCCTCTGTCGGACCGCGTGACAATCTTGCCGGTGGCCTCATACTCTTCCAACAGGATGTTCAAGACCCCGAAATTCTCGCCGGCGATGTAGAAGCCTGGGGATGAGGAGGGGAGGAGCAGGATGAGAAGGATGGGAGATGCTGCGTGTGCCCTTGCTATCTCGGGCAGGATGCATGAGGCAGTGGCTGTGGCCCCATAGAAAGTACCAGTAGAAGGCGCACAATATCCAGCCTCGTAAGACGAGGAAGGTGAGCAAGGATGATGACGAATGGGGCATGGGAAAGAATGGGGGCGCTCCAAACCCATTCCGCTGAACCCAGCTTGGTCCGCGCGGACGTACTCCTGGTAGCAACGGCGGTGATATCTGGACATAAGTATCCAACCTTACGAGCTCCGAGACAGCGCGCAACAACATGTCGCAAGTTTGGGGGCAGGGGCAAACACATCAAAGGGAGAGCCCCCACCAGAACTTCGGTCTCGACCTCGTGTCGTGTTGCGCGTGAAACCGGTTTCGGGCGCCTGGTCGTAAGCACATGATTCGCGTGCACACCTTCACCAGTCCCCGGACCTGCCATCAAATTGAGATGAAGAGGGTATAAATGACCCCTCCGTCTTGCGCTCCCCCTGCGAAAAACATACACGGCATGGGATGCAGAAGGGGAGAACTCCGCTCCGGCGACGTTACCACTGAACAAAAACATGCCGCTAATCACCAGATTCCTGGGCAAATCCGGCCGCGGCGACGAGGGTTCTCCAGAAAGGCCGGAAGGGCTGAAACGGGGGACGGGGGAGGGGAGCAGCGGTATCGGTATGTTCTTTGGGTAGCGAAATCCGAACTCTACTCGCAACAACCAGCAATTCTTCTGAACCATGGGAGGCGGGGGTAGGGTTCGCCACGGGGTCGACTATATCCGAACCCTACCTTCACCACCCATCGAGTTATCGCTGATCGGCGAGGGTAGGGCCTGCTAGGGCTCGGATTTCGTCGCCGATTCCTTCTCCATGGCTCTGGGCGCTGCGGAAAAGCTGGGTTGGCGGCTCCTCCGCGCAGCGCCACACAAAGAGCGTCGACGGGCGGGACTCGCGGACCCGTGACGCCCGCGGCCAGCGGGTGCCGCTGATCTCTCGGACTGGGCCGCCCGTGCTCCCGTCTTGAGGGGGCACGGGAGGACCTACTAGTCGGGCGTTGGCAGAACTGGGCGTAGGGGAACCCAGGAGAGCCCAGAATCGAATCGATAACTCGGATCGGCGATCGGAATGAATCGGATCGGCAGAAATCGGCGGCCGGGTCGGGAAAAGTCGAATCGGCAGAAATCGGCAGGCTAGTATGCCTCCAAGAAGGAATCGGAACCCAAATCGGAATCCCAAGTCGGATCGAATCGGAATCGGAAGCAATCGAAATCGAATCGAATCGAATCGGAGGAATCGAAATGAGCCCTGGGAACCTGGGTTAGTGATTTGTAACGGGGGCGCCCCCCCGTCCCATTTCCACGAATCGGAACTGCCGTCACCCGAAAAATACCAGTTACGGCAAACCTGGTTTATTGAGTCTGGCCAATTGAGGGGCCCCAAGGCCCTACCACTTCTCGGGTCCCCTTACCCGGGCTCCTGGCTATACCCGCACTAGTACTATGCGCCCTCCTCGGAGGCACACGTCCGAACCGAAGATGCAGCACAACCGCCTCACAGCATGTCATTGCACGGGCGGTGTGGCCAAACATCGTCCGCCGCCGAGCATCCACGGCAACTCTGCGGAGCGCGCGCGTCGCCCCCTGGGGGGGAGGCGGCGACGCAGACACAGAAGCAGGCCTGGGCGGGGGCGATGCCGGCGGGAAGCCACACATGGCCGTGCTGGGGCTGCCTGCGAGGGCCTCTGCGGGGGATCCCATTGGGCCCTCTTGGGGCCAACTTGGGCCTTCTCGAGGCGCCCCGAGCCCGGCCGGACCCGGTCGCACTGCATGGTCTAACCCCCTTTGTGCGACTACAGCGTGAGTCGCTCAAGCCGCTGCCAGGCCCTGGGCGTGCGGGCTGGCGGACCGCGCCCGTGGGATGGGAGCGGGAGGATCGGCCAATGTCTGGCCGACCTTCACGACGCAAGGCCACCCTCTGACGCGAGCGCCTTGTGCATGAGCAGCAGCCAGTGCGGCGCACCGCGGAGCCTGAGCCCTGCGTCTGTGTGTGCCCTGGCGGCTGGGAGGCGCTTGGTGCTGGTGCCGACTGTGCAACGGGGTGCGGGCGCAGCAGCAGCAGATGGTCCGCACCGAGTTTCTTGAGCGCAACATCGTGAGCCACGCGTGGCGCTCGCTGGCCTCGGAGGGCCGTAAAGGGCGGCCTGGCCTACGCCTACCACGTCCCGGCGGGATCGGATCCCACAAGCCGGCAGCCCAGGGCGCGCCGAGGCCCACCGTGATTCTGACATCCAGGAGGATGTTCAGGAGGGGGCGACGACGCCAAGGATGACAGGGTCAGTCTGCGAGCGGCTTCAGCCCAGGCAAGTGTCCGCTGCACTCCGGGCGCATAGCTCTGCACCAGCGCGCCACCGCACGGAGCGCCCTGCTACGCCGAGAGAGGCCTGGCGTGGCACCTTCGACGGTTGCCTTTCGAGCATGCCTTCCTGCTAGGGCTGGTCGCGATGGCTGCGCAGTGCGCGGCCTCCAGGGCAGGAGGGGGCACCGGGTGCTGAAGGAGCAGCGCGAGCACGTACTGGCCTCGAAACCTGGCGAAGGTATGCATCTGACCAACTATCGCGTCCGCCGATGCAGCAACATCTGGGCGTGGGTCGCCAATTGTTGGGCGCCTGGCTTCTCGAGGTCCACGAACCACCCGTGGCGTGCTCGGCATTGCTGCGGAGACCACAAGAGGAACACCTTGGGTCGGTGCAAGGTGACAAAGGGTGCAACGCCGTGATCCTCCCGGGATTGGCCGTCGCACGGCTGCGCGGCTCCTTGCGTCGCTCGTTGTAGGCTGTTCCCGTCGTTCCGAAAGGCCGAGGCCATCACAATTGAACGCAACTGACCTTCCGCCTCCTCCACCTCAACTGCTCAACCTGCTGAAATCATGATTGTTGCATGGTCCGCCTCCTCTTCCTTGTATACCACCTCTATCCATGGACCATCTCTGCTTTCACTCCCCACTTTACACGCGTCTGGTCCAATTGTGATCCTATTCTTCCATGTCCTCACAACTCGAGGGCATCCGTGAACAAGCAAAACGATGAAAAGACATGTCGCCGTTTGGGCGAGCACAGAGCGAGGGGACAGTCCGCCCTGCCTCAGCGATCGGGCTCGTCCTCGTCGTCGTCGTCGTCGTCGCCATCGTCGTCCTTCCTCCACCTTCCCCTCTGGCACAGCAGGCAGATACGCTAAGGAATTTGACATGAAGAAAAAGAAAACATACTTCGTCGATATTCGAAATTCCGGAGGTGACCCCATACTTCTGTTGGCCTTGCAGGCTAGTCCCACCAGCCCTTTATGGCGCGAGTGGTTTAGAGCGTTTCTTCTTCCAACCCATTTCTCCCCCGTCGGGACGGAGAGTACCCCTCCGCCTACCCCCTCCCCCTGGACCTGGACAGGTGGGGGCGGTCGCAACCAATTAGAGCGTCCAAGATGGCCACGGCGAGAAGACAACGTTACGGGTTTTGATAGGGAGTGTTGGCCACATGTTGGTCTCCTTGGGGGGGCAACGCTAATTGAGTACACCCCCTTCTCTGACCGTGCTGCTCCAAGATGGCCCCAAGATGACCACCACGGCTTCCAAGAGGGCCCCATGAGCGCCCAGCAGGCCCCAAGCCCCCAAGAGGCCCCCAAGAGGCTCCCAAGAAAACCTCCAAGAGGCCCCAAGCGGCTCCCCCGAGGCATCTGGGGCCGCCAAGAGCTTCCCAAGACGCCCCAAGAGGACTCCAAGGAGCTCTCTCAACCCCACTGGAACGTCGAGAATGCCTCATTGGATGTGCCTGTTGCAACTCTCCTTCCCCGTCCCTCCTGCACTCTCCCGCACTCCGTCCTTCTGCCTCTCCCGAGGGCTCCGTCACGGGCTTCCGCCGCAGTCTGCGCCAGAGGCTGCGCCGCGGGCTGCGCAACAGATTGCGTTGTGGGCTGCGCCACGTCTCGCGCCATAGGCTGTTCCACAGGCTGCGCCATAGGTTGCACAGATGATTACGCCATTGGCCACTGGCTTGGAAACGGCTTGCGCCATTCTTTGCGTCGTTAACTGCACGCCCTCGGCCGCCGAACACGGAACCGTGCATTTGCGGGGGCGACCAACTCATTCCCATCGGCGAATCGGCCAACAAACGAAAGTAGACACAGACACACACACATACACACACAACACACACACAACACACACGCACGCACGCACGCACGCACGCACGCACGCACGCACGCACGCACACACACACACACACACACATCCCGCACAACAAATCATTGCTGCTTCCGGAAGCACTAAGTATACACTCTGTCTGCCGTACCAGCACGAGTCCCAAACGTCACCCCACAACAGTCAATGAGAAGGACATCCACGAAATAGGAGCAGAGCCCACTTCAGCCGATTTCATGGAGACTGATGCTGCGGCCAAGGACACCCGCACAACGAGGAACAACATAACAAACAGGTCCGACTGCATGGAAGGACACGAGGGGCACGTTTGAAATGACAACTCTCACCGGCCTCGACACAGACGTGGCACTTGCGACATACCTGTTAACCCGCTCAGAGAATACTGCGATTCCGCGAACTTTCAAGACTCTCTGGCATCGCGGCTGGTCTATCCGTCACCTTCTATGTGCTGCATATGGGCCCCGTCCACCAGAACGCGCCTGGGATCGCATTCAGCATCTCCTGCAGGACTGTCGAGCCACCCTGACCTCACAAGTGCAGCTTTCTGGACATACATGTAGCGCGTGCAACGTGCGCATCGACACCTCCCCATACACATCTGGCCTGACATACTCGTGGAGTCCAGCGCAACCGCTGACACACTTGGCAAATCGGGCTTGACTCGAAAAACAGATCTCTGAGTTTGGACACCGACTTCTGGAGGTGGAGGAACTTTTTGGGTGACCCAAAAGGGGGTCCAGCTGAAAGGGGGTGGTGCAATAGATTTGGTGCAATTGTATTGCAAATGTATTGCGCCAGAGAATTGGATTGCATTGTATTGCAAGTAATGCATTGCACGCGAAAATCCAACAATACATTTGCGCCCTGGAATGTGTTGCACTTCCCAAATGTACTGCAACCCCACAAATCTATTGCACCACCCCCACCCCCTTTTAGGTAAACCCGGAACTTCTCCCTTAGTGGTCGAAGGGGACCACAAACCGATGCACGAAGCATGACGGTGGCATCATGAACACCAACAGTGGAAGTTGGACTGTGCACCCTGATGGAACCTGTGAGCACCTTGTGAGCGCTGAGCCTGATGAATCCAGGTTCAGTCGACTTCCCCATCCCTGAGGGGGGAGAAGGGGGGGTCGAGGGGGGGGGGACGGGGGGGGCAAGGACGGGATTACGGGGGATCCCTGGTCAGATTGCCGCCCCCTCCCGGGGTGCTCGCGGACCCCCTCCCCTCCCCCGTGGGGACACGAGGGGGTCCCCCCCCGGTGGGAGGAGGGGGGGGGTCCCTGGACGGGTCTCGGGGGAAATCCCGCCTATGGTGGGATGGTCCTGGGTCAGAATACGGCCCCCGGGGTCTGGGCAGGTCCCGGGTGGTGGCGCCAGCAGGGGTCCCGTGGGGAGGTCCCGCCTGGAGCCCTTCACAATAAGATTTGCTTTAAGGTAAGCCAGCGTGGGTCCCGAACAGTAACGCCCGTTCCAACTTATGTGGTGCAATCCATGTGGTGCAATCCATGTGGTGCGATCCATGCGATGCAGATAATTTCTGTTCGCAGTGAGTTGTCCACGCCACTGCTCGCGCAAACATCCCACCCACCCACCCGCAACTTGGTTTGCAAAATCTCTTAAGACCGTGCCGGTGGGTACCAAATGGCACTTCGCAACGACAGCGACGCCGACGACGACAGCGACAACGACGACGACGACGCCGCCGACAACGACTACGACGACACCGACGACGTCTCCAACGACTTCGACGACACCGACAACGACGACGACGCCGACGCCGACGACGACGATGACAACGACGACGATGATGACGACGCCGACGACGACGACGACAACGACGACACCGACGACGACGACAACGTCAACGACGCAAACGACGACGACGACGGCGGCGACGACGGCGGCGACGACGACGACGCCGACGTCGACGACGACGAAAACGACGACGACGCCGACGCCGACGACGACGACGACGTCGCCAACGAAGACGACGACGAGGGAGGAGGGAGGACGACGACGGCGACAACGACGACAACGACGACAACGACGAGGGAGGAGGGAGGACGGCGACGACGCGAACGACGAAGAAGGAGGAAGGACGTCGACGCCGACGACGACAACGACGAGGGAGGAGGGAAGACGACGACGACCACGACGACGACGACGACGACGGCGACGAAATAGGAGGGACGACGACGAGACGCCGACGACGGACGAGGACGACGACGAGGGCGGAGGAGGAAGGAAGACCACGGCGACAACGACGACGGAAACGACCACGACGCCAAAGAGGACGACAACGACGACGAACACGAGGAAAGACAGAGGACGACGTAGGCGACGACGACGACGACGACGCGGGAGGAGGGAGAACGGCGGCGACGACGACGACGACGCAAGAGCGCGCGCGCACGCTTTTGTTGACAATCCGTGTTGCGACACCTTGTGTTTTTGTATGTTTTTTTGGACACACGATGTTGAAATCCTTCCGAAGCCGATGGGTTTTGAAGGATTTCGGCATACGCGCGCGACGACGCGCGCGTCTGCACTTCGTCCCATTTTTTGCAGAGGATTCTCGCGACGGCACACGCGCAAGTGCGTTCGACAGATTTCGACATGCGCGCGCGGCGCCCGTTTGGTAGCATGTTGTGACAATATTGAAAAACCTATGGTTTCTGAAGATTTCGCAAGAGCTCGCGCGTAAGCTTTTTTATCAAATCAGTGTTGCGAAACCTTGTGTGTTTGTATGTTTTTTTTGGAACCTCGATTGCGAAATCCTTCCGACACCGAAGGTTTTTGTAGGATTTCGGCATGCGCGCGCGACGACGAGCGCGTGTGTACTTCGTCATATTTTTTGCAAGGGATTCGCGAAAAAATCTTATGTCCCCGCGTATTGCTTTTCACAAAGGAACCTCAGGGGGGCCGATACCAGCCCCCTGGGATGGTGTAAATTCATATTTAAGATGGACATGTGGTCATAACCATCGATGATTTACACACCCGAAAGGGGGGATAACGCCGGGGGGGGTAGAGTCTGTCCTTTTTTTAGAAGGGAGACTTGAAGAAACGCAAAGCACATACATGCGACGCAACGCAATGCCACGCAATGCAATGCGAAGCAATGCGAAGCAACACAATGCCGTGCAAACACCTGTAAGGTAATGCAGCGCAGCGCAAAGCAGTGCAAAACAATACAGACCAATGCAAGCAAATCCAAAGCAATGCCAAGCAATGCGCAGCAAAACCAGGCAACGCCAAGCAATGCAAAGCAAGTCAGAACGATGCAAACACATGCAACGCAACACGGAGCTACAACAGTGCAAAGCAACGCAAAACAATGCAAAACAATGCAATGCAAAGCAATGCAAAATGCGAGACGCGAGTGATCAGCATCGTTCCCAAAATGGGGCGGCGACGGACAGCGGCGGCGGGCGGCCTCAAGCTTGCCGCACAGTCCTGGTTGCGAGCCTCGCACAATCACAGTCGTGACCAAATGGTGCGGCGAGGGGCGGCGGCGACGGGTGGCGACGAGGCAGCCCGGGAGGGGGTGGACCGACAGGGGGGGAGGGGAGGCAGGAGGGGAAGGCGGGATCGGGGCGGGGAAAGGAGGGAGTCTGAAAAATGCGCATCTGCGTCGGTGAACCGCGTGACCTGGCCATGTGTTTTCGCGGTGCCCACGTCCACGCGAATACCATGCGGATTTTGATATTGCTTTTGATTGTCACTCTGGAGTGCAAAAGGGGTTCTCGATCCTTGGCATGCGTTCTCGCAGAACTCCTGGCCAACGCCAGGTGTTCCCGGCAGACTCCTGTCCGTGCCGTGTGGTTTATGGGAATGTCATGGCCAGTGCCCCGTGTTCTCTCGGAACCCATGGTCGCTGCCATGTGTCCCCAACAAACTCATGTCCGTGCAATTTGGCTTCTGGGGATGTCATGGCCAGTGCCATGCGTTCTCTCGGAATCCATGGCCGTGGCCATGCGTTCCCGGCAAACTCGCGTCCGTGCCGTGCGTTCTATGGGGATGCCACGGCCAGCGCCGCGTGTTCTCTCGGAACTCGAGGCCAACGAGGGGATTGAGCGCCACCGTTTGGCACCGCAAGGTTTTCGCGATCGGCTTCGTCGTAGATGCGCCGCGGCGCCGAGAGCTGCGGCATCGCGGGGGCACGCGGTCATTGAGGTCACGGGCCAGAAGTGCCGAGAAACCGAGGGCCGCCACGGGGCCAGGGAGCCACGAGCCCCGGGGCGCCCGGAGCCACGGTGCAACGGAGCGCAAGAAGAACGAACAGTTGCAACGCGATAAGTTTGCAGCGCGCCACTGGTCAAATGTGCCCGCCGACTGCGCGGGCGCAGCGATCTTACACAGCGGGTGCAAACCAACGTTCTGGTTGTTTTGTGACGAAATCATCATGGACTCAATCGTGATGAGCACGCCCCCCTAGTTCTCGCCCCCCTCTTGGTCGCTCCCCAGCCTGTCGAGGCCCACCTTGGTGAGCGCGGCGGTGTACCGCTTGATCTTGGCCGGCGTCCTTCCCTCGTGAACCTCCAGCTTGAGCAGCGGGCCCCAGCCCGCCGACAGCCAGCCCCGATCACGGTCGAAGAAGAGACGGAAAGCGTCGGGGATCTTCAAGCCCGGGTCAACCCAGACCGGGGTCGCTCAGGCCTTGCAAGATCCTGCAAAATCCTGCAAGGTCCTGCGCCCAAGCCCGGGTCAATGCGAAGGGTCCTGCAGGATCCTGTAAGATCCTGCGCCCAAGCCTGGGCCAATGCGACCCTGGACTTGCAGGATCCTGCAAGGTCGGGGCGCTCTGGCTGACCCCCGACTGCATTGACCCCCGTCTCAAGGCTCCCGAAAGCGCCCCCGAGCGCGTTCGCCGGGATGTTCTTGATCTTGCGGCCTCCGATCTCGAGCTTAATGGTGCGAGGGCTCTTGTCCCCAATGATGTGCAGCTTGGTGATGCCCTCGCCGCTGTGCGAGCCCACCTCGAACTGGCGCGATTGCCCATCCACTCGAAGCATCGAGAGGGCCTCCGCCACGCGACGAGCAAAGAGTCCTTCACCTCCAGCAGCGCGGACGACGAACACACGCAACAGCACATCACGGCACTCCAATGGCCACCAGTCGTCCGCCAAGCCCGCGTCGATGAGCCACGGCTGCACGGCCTCCTGCACCTTGGCCTTGGACACAAGCGTGCCCGAATTGATCTCGATGGCCGAAGAAACCACCTCGCGTTCGAAGGTCGACGAGAAAACGACCGGTTTGGAGGGCTTCTGGTTCGCCACGGCCAGAGCCTCCTGTAACTGCTTAGCAGATTCCTTGAGCTCGTTGACCTGCTTCGAATGGCACTCCACCGTGCCATCCACCGACTGGACAATGGCCGAGAGTATGTCGTACCTCGTAGTGAAGTCACGTCGCAGCTCATCGGATTGAGTGTGTCTTGGATCTGCTTGCCCAGCTTCTTCGGCAAGTCCGCGAAGTCCTTCTGGCACTGCATGGAACACTTGACAAAGTGCTGATTGAACGAGTCCGCGATCGTCTTGGATTCTGTGGCCACCGACTCAGAAACCACCTCTGCTCTGTGACGACATTGGTGCATATGTTGCGGATGTGCTCGTCAGTGTACTCTTCCTCCCAGACGTCCACGTCGCTGTCCACGTCGTCCATGCGGTTGGCCACAGGCTGAGAGGGCAGAACAGCCCCCCACACAAACGCCAGCAGCAACAGCACGAGGCCCACCCGGCATACGAGCATCACGAGGCGGGGTGGCGACCTTCTTTGCGAGTTTCTCTTTCCCAGGCTTAATGACCTTGGGATCAGCAGCGCCGCCATGCGTCGACATCGACCAGACAAAATGACTCATTGAGTGAGCGAAGGCGGGACTGTGTGAGGGCGCCCAGATCCCCCCGTGAAGGCAGAGAAAGAGAGATGCCAGGCAGAACTGCCTTGCCTGCCGCGGTCTGGCGGTATTCCTGGATGCCTTGGGGCTGGAAGCCCGCAAAGCCATGGTCGTGAGTCAAAATGGCTACGGAAGGAGGAGGAGGAGGAGGAGGAGGAGGAGGAGGCGGACGAGGAGGAGGGGGCGGCAACCCTTTTGCTTGCTCTGCCGCCACGCGCCACACCTCGACTCCCTCACTCCCGCCAGCGTCCACGGGTGGCACCGGAAAACAGCTCACCGCGAGGCCGAGCTCTTCCAGCGCCTCGCGGAAGTCGTCGACACCATCCACGCCCTCGATGCGGCGCTCAACCGACACCACCGCCACCGGCGCGCGGTCTCCAGCACCACGCTGCGCAGGGCCCTCCTCTAGCAGTGCCGCGATGGTGCGGGCGAGCGCCTGCCAGCTCTCCTCCCCGAAGAAGGGCTCGTACACGCAGTCCCCGCACAGGATGAGGTCGTAGCGGCCGCCCAGTTCCAGCCTGGCGCGCTCTTGGAACCCCCTCGCTGCGTCTGTGCCCCACGACAGGCCCTCGAAGCGAAGCGCCCCCGCTGCGGCCCAGTGCTGCGCCACGGTGCCCAAGACTGCGTGCACCGCCGCCTCCACGTCGGCACCCGAGTCGATCAGCACCGCGCCGCGTGCACCGCACATCAGCGACACCAGCCCAGGGAGGCCCAGCCCGCAGCCCAGCTCCAGCACCCGCGCGTCGCGCAGCCTCCCGCACAGGGGCGGGCCGGCGAGGCAGTTGCAGAGCCCTACTGTGGCCGGCCAAACCTTCGGCCCCGTGGAGTACTTCGCGCCCCCGAAGACCACGCCCCGCGCGCCTGCTTGCCCGGCGGGCCCTGCAGCGGCCAGCCCCTCCACGCAGAGCATCAGCTCCGGGGCAGTCCTGGCGGCCGGGACGGCCTCCGCCAGGGCGGCGACGGGGCCGCAGAACCGGGGGACGGCCTCGCCCTGCGGCAGGAGCTCCGACGCGTGGTCGCAGCGCAGGGCGCCCTCCGCGCCCGAGGCGTCCCGTCGGGGGCACGTCACCTGCGTCACGGCGAGGGTGCACAACGAGCTCGCGTCCCCGCCGTGCGCCATGAGCGTGGCCACGCGCAGCCTCGCGCGGGAGCAGCCCTTCGCGCCGCGGGGGCCTCCAGGATCTGCTGCCTCCGCCGCGAGGAAGAGGCGGTCCTCGGCGCCCACCTCGCTGCCCCCGGAGAAGGCGAACACGAGCCCGCAGGGCGGCGGCCTCTCCGAGTGCACCCCGCACAGCTCCATCGCTCGGGGAGGGCGGAGGGAGGAGAAGACACGGCGATGCTGACGAGCCCGAATGCAAACCCTTTGAAAATCAACGCGCGTGCATAGCGAAACGAGTCGCGCAGCTCCACACGAACGAAAGCTGCTGCTGTATAGGAGCAGGAACGCATGCCGTTCCGGCAGAGCCAGCCTGGAAAGGCGTTGGGCGGGGGTACGTCCACTCCTACCCTCACGAGCGTGTACGGTGCGACCAGGTCTTGAGGATGCGCGGTAAAAATGCAAGGCCCTTGGACGCCCGAATTGAAGCCGAAGTCGTAAGTCCATGGCCCATGGCTGAGGCTGAGGATGCGCCGAGAACCAGGGATGCAATGGTATCCCTGGAAAGCTACTCGTCCTCACAATCAACCCGCACAAGAAAGGGCGCACGAGAAGCAGGATACCAGAGCCTTGGAAGGCCTTGACACTCGCTGAGCGGAGCGCGGCCAGTGAAAGCGGCCAAGGATGGTCGAAGGTGAAGGATGTGAGGGCAACCTTGGAAAAGGGCACATCCGTACTACGTGGGTTCACTGTGCGATCCCGTGTGACTCTCCATCAGAACTCCGCGGTGCTGGAGTCACGCGCCCGCCCAGTCTTCGCGCGCGACTCCGCCCGAGCGCATGGCAGGCCAGCGACACGCCACGATGTGGGCATGCCGCGCTACGTTTTGGGGTCGGTACCATCTTGCGCCGGCAGGGGCTGCAATCGGGCCGCCTAGCTCTTGCATCGTCCGTCCTCGTTCCTTCGCTCCCTCAGCGTTCCTCCCTCAGCTCGTCCGTGCTCGGGCCTCCCTCTTGCATCGTCCGTCTTCGCTCCTTCGCTCCTTGCTTCGTCCGTCCTCGTTCCTCCCTCAGCCTTGCTCCGTTCCCCGCCTCCTTCAGCCTGCCTCCCTCATCCCTCCTGCACTCCACTGTCCTCACTCCACGCTCCTCGCTCCTGCAGCCCCCCTGCGAAGCTCGGCCCTCATCGCGCCTCCCATGGGCCATTCCCTGATGCGTCCCTGCCTTAGACTCTAGACAAGGAAAAATGGAACATGGCCGACAGGCAAGTCGGTGGTGAGGCCCCCAACGGATACGAACTCGAATGATGGAGGCAGAGCCCTTCGTGCCAGGCCGCTCGAGTCAGAGGTGGCGGCGCAACTTACCCTCACCCGAACGCTCGCCCTCCCTCCATCCACGTGCCAGTATTGTCCTCGTTCTGTCATCCAAGCTCTGCGCTGCTCACGCTCCCTCCCGGATTCTCCCCCGAGCTCCTCCGTTCCCAATTTGCCCCCCACTCCTTGTCCGTCATCCCTCCTCCCCCGACCTCCTTGCAACTCCCTCCTCCCACATTCATCCTCGCGGAATGGTCCATCCTCCCTCCTCGCTCTTCCCGCCTTCCTCATTCCAGCTGTCTCTCTAGGGCGCTCTTGGGCCGTCTTCGGGTTCTCTAGGGAAGCGCTCGGTCCGTCTTGGGGGTCGCTGAGAGGTCTTTTGAGGCCTCTTGGGGGCCTGTCCAGACAGGCCCCAAAACGAATCCAGCGAACGACCTTCACCAAAGCCTTCAACATCGAATCTCTCGTCTGAATAGTACAGCCCCAGCAGGCGCAGATAGGAGTGCAGGGCTGTTCTGGGCGTGAGGCTCCTCGACCCTCGTAAGCCCAGAGTACCATCTACTGCGGTTGATTGTTGTCACCCGCCCCCCCGCTCGGAGCACCGAAGAGATGCCCTCTGGGACATTCGAGCAGACATCTCAGAGCTCTTTTTGGCTCTCGGGCGCTCAAGGTGGCATCCTAGAATCCTCTTGGGGCCCCTGGTCCCGGGCGTTGTCGGGCGAAGGCCGGCAGGGGCTTGAGAACCCCCGGACGGATTGAGCACCAGCACCGCGGCTTCGGCTGGCCTGGATTTGGCCCCAAGCAGGCGGACCTGGGCCAGAAGAGCATCGCTCAAGAACAGGAGACCCTCCGTCGGCCAAAATTGAACAGAACATCCAAAGGTTCCCCCTCCAGGATGCACAAAAAAACGTCCAACAAGCACGAAGAACATCAGGGTACCCCCCCGCGAGACGACCTCGCTCCTATACCCTGGGTCCGACTGTACGTCCAAGAGGGGGGGTGCAAATCATGGGCCGAAGCACGTGCGCAGCCCCAGCGGGAGCCAGGAACGCAATGAAATAAGAAGAGGCGCCGTGAAATCTGAGGAAATATAATGGCCGCCGCCATGATATCCAATCCCCTAGTCATCACCCCCCTCGTGGCCCCCGACGTCGTGATTTTTCATGACGTCGACGGCTGCCTGGCTTTTTGGCCCCCTATAGGCTCAACCCGGGGCAGCTCTGTACATATCGACGTGCATAGGGCGCGCGGGTGGCGAGAGAACGGGGAGAACCACGGCTTGGGCCGCTCCAAGGCCCCAGGTTTGGCCGAATTTGGTGCGGTCCACCGAGAGGCCGACCGCAACATTTCAATCGATGGTGGGCCTGGTTTCCGCCGCCACCACCACAAGCAGGAGGGGGATGGGTTCTTCCTCCTCCTCCTCCTTCTCCTCTTCCTCCTCCTCCTCTTCCTCCACCTCATCCTCCAACTCCTTCCCCTCTTCCTCCTCCTCCTCCTCTTCGTCTTCCTCCTCCTCTTCTTCCTCCTCCTCATCCTACTCCACCTCCTTCTCCCCTCCAACTTATGGTAGTGGTGGTGGAAAACAAGCCCTTCAATTGAAATTTAGCCGAGCGAATCGATGTCAAGTCGGCCGACCCTGATGCGTCCCACCGAGAGGCCGACCGCAAAATTTCAATCGACATGGAGTCGAGCGGATCGGAATTGAGTCGAGCGGAATTGAATCGAGCGAACCTCTTGAGTCGAGCAAATCGATTCCAAGGTCCGCCGAAAGGCTACTCCTGGACACGCCCTGGGCACCGTCCTGCCCCGGCTTCGCGGAGCGGGCCCGTCCGCGGCATCACACCCCGTCCGAGGGTCAGCGCCTGGCAGCCGCATACGAGCCACCTGGTGGAGGCTGTAGACTTAGGTCGGGCATGGTCTCCTACCGGCGGATTTTGAACGAACAAGTCAACAATACCCAGCAGATGCCCAAAAAAGAGTCAGAAGCAGTAGAAAGTCGTCCCCAGACTACTTTTTGACTATTTTTGAATATTCCTCCTGTAGAGGGACACGCCCGACGTAAGTGTGGGACCAGGGCGAACCTCCTGCCTGCCTGCCAAGCATGGGGCGGCAAAGCACACGACCTGCGGACAGGATGAAGAGCCACTGCTGATGGCCGCCGCAGAGGTCGCACTCGCCTCCGCTGCTCTTTGCCCCCCCAACGCCGGAGGCATCAATACAGCGTCAGGGAACAGGAGGCCGCTAGGCAGCTGCGACACAGCAGTAGACATACATTTGAAACAATCGGCATCCGCCACCATGCCTGGACAATAACGGGGTGGTCGAATGACTGGTCTTTGTCAAACGGGGTATATGTAGCTTTCCAGGGGCGACACCCCTCGGGCGGACACACCCATTTGAAACCGTCCCTCCATGGACTGCTTCCTGGCGTCGGTTTCGGCGTCTGGACTTTCGACAGCTCCAAGACGGCTAAGCACAAACTCTGGGCGGACAGCAACAAGATGCCTCAAAGACCAGCCCACGACGGCTTCTGACATCCATACTGCACACAAGGCGACAAGAACCCCCACAGGATACACCCAGAGAGGCCTCAGCAATGCCCGAGCAGGACAGAAGCATTGAAACACAAAAATAATGAGCTGGACCGTGCTAGCAAAAGATTAACTCGGTAAACAGAGCTGGAAGATGTTAGACAGCGTGGATAAAGAACAACAAGCTTCTGCACACTCGATGTGCGCGAACTGCGATTCGATATGTGTATGATACTCCGAGCGTGGTACAATCTGTACGGCGCAATGGACACGGTGCAACAAATGTGTCTCGATAACTGTGGTGTAATCGACGGAATGTGTCTATATGTTGCCTTCCGGGCATGGTGCCATCTATCACATCTATGTGGTGCAACCAACGCAGTGCAATACATATGGTGAGCAGAACTGTGGTGCGATCCATATAGTGCTATCTGCCAGCCTGCACCGCGCATTGCAACATCCAGTGCTCGCCGTCAGCTCTGATGCTCGAGCAATGACCCCGTCCACCAAGACGCAACTTGTCGGCACATCTCCTCTCGTGTAATTGACGCTAGGACGCTCCCCGCGCAGCTGCATGAGGCTCGGGCGGGCGAGGGTGTTGCTGCTGATGACGGTGGCAGCACTGATGACGAGGGCGGCGACAACAACGATGACGATGACGATTATGATGTTGATGGCGGCGGTGGGGATGACACCGGTGATGGTGATGATGGTGGCGATGATGATGATGATGCTGATGCTGATGACGGTGGTGATAGTGGAAGATGGCGATGCTGGTTGTGGCGTTTGGTAAGAAACTTCGGGACCAGTGATATTAATCGATTGTGAGAACCTCGCCTCGGCACCCCACCAATCTAGCTATATAGCGTAGCTTCATGGCGTCCAGCCAAACTTCACTTCAAGCTTAAGCATTGTGACGCTAGAAAATGAAGCGAAGCTTCCTTGTGCTCAGCGGAACTTCGAAGCTTCTCCGAGTCCAGCGGAACTTCAAGCGCAAGCAATAGTAAAGTTTAGAAAATAGAGCGGCGCTTCCTTGCAGACCGTCAAGCTCAAGCAAGAGTAAGATATAGAAAATGGAGCGAAGTTTCCTCGCGGAACCTCAAACTCAAGTTAATGTGAAGGGGAGCCCCAGGTTTCCGTGGGCATGCAGAAAGTTGGTCTCCTTTTCTGCGGTCCAGGCGGCGCCAGAGCATCGCTTCGCTCGGATCCTGGAAACCATGCAGAGCAGCTACCTCACAGAAACATAATCGTCAAGGGGTTGGAGACCACGAGCAAAGCGGAAGTGCTGATCCCATACGTACCGTTATGGGCCGGCATGCAAGAAAAGCGCAACACTGCACAGTGCTTCGGGAACCATCACTGTGGCCTGTTTCCAACGAGGTGCGAAGGGGGAGCTGCGCGATTTGAGCGAGAGGGCGGGCAGGGAGAACGGCGAGGGGAAGGGCGAGGGGAGGGGGGGGGAGGGAGGAAAGCAGGAAAACCCACCCGATGGGGGGCAAAAGCGAAGAAGAGAAGCGGAGAAGCACAATAAATAAAAGGAATGGAGGGAAGAGAGAGGTGCTACAGGAACAGTGCGATGCAATACTCTGGTTCACAGTCTAGGGGGTCCGTGATGGATCGAGCCCCTCTGAACCTGCTTGGAAACTGGGCCGCTTTGGGCCGCTTTCGTCCAACTAGCACGGGCGGGTCAGCGTTCCGCGGTTGAACTTGACCCCGGGGCTTTCTCCGGCAGGAGCTCTTCATCCGGACCCTCGCCCGCGTCGGCTGGCGCCTGGGCCGCGCCTCAGCGCCTGAGCGCCACCGCGGCCACTCCGAGCACAGCGACAGCAGCTGCTCCGAGGGCCGCGAGAGCGGCCGCTACCGCGGCCCCTGAAGACACCCGCCCGGCCGACACCGGGCCGTCCGTCAGGAGCCTCGCACCGCGCCCTCCTTCTTCTCCCGGGCCTCGCACGCCGCGCACGAATTGCACTCGTTCGCCATGATCTCCTGGGCCTTGCTGCAGCTGACCTCCTCGCTGGGGTCCGAGCTGTCGCCGTCAACGCCAAGCTCCACAAGGGCCTGATGGAAGAACTCGCAACACGATGTGCCGTCGCACTCTTCTAAGAAGTCCGCCGACCCCTTGGGGATCATCGGCGTGTGAGATGCTTCCCCCTCCCTAAACCCCTCCCCCTGGAGCCAGGTCTGGTCGATTTGGAGGGGGGGCCGTCCGGCCGGAGCTCATCCGGAGGGGTCCGGCCCTTCCCGGGCTCCTTTTGGAAGTCCACGACAGCTTCTGGGGCCGCCCGAGAGGCCCCCAAAACTGTCCAAGGGGGCCCCAACGCCAAGGATGGCCCCAAGACGGCCCCAGAAGCCCCCCAGACGGCCCAAGAAGCCTCCAAGAGCATCCCGGAGAGGGGCCCATGAGGCCCAAATCGTCGAATTCCTAGGAAAACATACATTTCTATCAAGCAAGTTTTTTCTGCCTTCGCGGCGTTGAAGACGGCCCCAGAATCCCCCAAGACGGCCCCAAAACGGCCCGACAGGTTCTCAAGAGGCGCTCGAAACGGCCCAAGAGGGCGCCAAGACGGCGCAAAAGGCCCCCAAGACGGCCCACGAGGGCCCCAAGACGGCCCAATGAGGGGCACAAGAAGGGGAGCCTGAATCAACAATCCTAGCCATCTGCCCCAAAACGGCCCCAGGGGGACCCAAGAGTCGCTCAACAGGGCCCATGGGGCCCCCAAGAGGCCCCCCAAGAGGCCCCAAGAGGCCGCCAAGAAGCTCAAAAGAAGCCCCAAGTACCACTTGAGGCATGTAACTTTTAACCCGCCGCCCAGGCACCAAGGATGTCAGGCCGACAACCAAGGCACGGTGACGGGATGGGCCGAATGCCACTACATACACATATATATATATATATATATTGCCGCGGGTATCTACCTTGATCGAGAAGAAGAAGAAAAGGACAAGGAGGAGGAAGAGGAGAAAGAGGAACAAAAAAGAAAGCAGATTTCGTCGTCGCCGCCGATGTCTCACACATTTTCGTGGTCTTTCGACCACCAAAGCCATCTCCTCGAATTCGACCTCCAAGAACCGTTTTCGGTGCCTGGAACCACCGCCGAAAGTCCGGGATGAGGATCGACCTCCCTGGCAGGTGCCACCCCTTCGCAAAAGAAGGAGCACGGGGTGGATCGAGGCTCGAGGAATGAAACTCCTAGTTCTTGGACGCTCTCCGCCCCCTCTGGGCCTTCAGGAAGCTCCTCGTCGACACAGCTGGGTCCACTCTCGAACTTCTGGCTGGACGCAATCCCAGCTGGGTCTCAACGATCTCCGAGACAATCCAAGAGGTGGAAAAAGAGGCCTGGGACAGGCCCCGTACAGGCCCCACGAAACTCACATATGACCACGAAAAACTTCAAAACAATCCGCTACAAGGCCTCCCCTTGAACCCCACACGCTACGCAGGACAGGCCGAAACCCCAAGATTGCCCAGCGATCGCGCGCGTTCCGCGAATTCTGTCTTTCACTCTTGCTGCCGCCCCAAGGTGTCGGCGGTGCGGCGTAAGCCAATGAATCGCTCTCCGTGCATTCGATCTCGCAGCCATTGCCCTGGCGCACGTACGCCCGCTCCGCAACGGGATCCGCAACGGGCTCCGCAACGGGATCCGCAACGGGATCCGCGACGGAGGTGCCGGGGCACGGAGGTTGAAGGCGTCGTCGCCCTCGCACTTGCAAAAACGTTGAACAGATCCCCAACCATGCCTATCTCATTCCACTTTCGTGTACTGGACCAGCTCTAAGCAGTCGCCTGTAGAACCATCGGGCTTTGGCAGGTAGTTTGGAGCAATTGAGTTGGTTGATTGCCATGTGGCACACTCGAGGCAAATCACGCTGGCCACATACTTCTGGACTATCGTCTCCGTAGCCCCGTCAAGGTCGACACAAGTCAACGACACAGCGTGTTACAAGCTTCTGTGCACGTAGCGCCTTTCTCGGCAAGGTGCCACACCTCCGTGGCCCTGGAGACGGCCAGCGCGGCAACTGCGATTATCTTCGCAGAAAACCCATGGGCCTGAGACTGCTGGAGCCGAGGAGTACGATGATTCTCGGCGCGGTCTCGAAAACGCTTGAGAGCCACAAGGGATTGAGCCAGGATGGCTTGAGCCAAAATGACTACGGATTCGGGACCAATGATAATGAAATGCTTGAGCGGCCCGATTCACTGCTCAGCTTGCTCAAACTGGGCTTCAACGCGCCGAGAAAGTCACCAACAACCATGCTAGCCTCAAAACGGCCCAAGAAACCTCCAAGACGTCCCCGGAGAGCTCCAAGAGGACCTCATGAGGGCCCCAAAGAGGCCAACATCGCCAGAATTCAGAAGGAACAGTTACATGTTTATCATTTGACCCACTTTGGTTTCGCCAACGTCCAAAGCGGCTGGAGGCCCCAAAGACATTTCCAGGACGGACCAAGAGAGCCCCAGAACGTCCCCAGAGGAGCCCAAGAAAAACCAAAAGACGGCGACGATCGCACGGTGACGTCGCAAGCGATGATCGGACGTGCGAGCAACAAATCTATGGATTTTGGCACAATGACGGTTGAATGGCAATTGGGCTTACATATATGTGTTGGACACCTGTGTGTTGACATGTTTGCGCAACGCTGGTTGTGTAATGGTTATGCCGTGTTCATGCGTGCGGCCCGCATTGTAAGATTTGACGCAGTTGGCGGGTGAGCGACCTGCGGGCGCGTTCGGCCCACATGGTCTCCCTTGACAGGGGTGGCAACCACATCTAATTCTGATCGGATGCCAGCGAGTGCACGCGCACGCATCTACAGCACCACTGTACCATCTCCAGATTGCAATCATTGGCAGATGTGGTTCGCAATTTGCTGAAAACGAACGAAGGTGGAACTAGTGTGGCAGATGCGTGGATGTGGACCGCACGGTATCATCTGGTGGAGACTCTGAAAAATACGCATGTGTTAGTACAGTGCTTGTGCGCCGCGTCGAATTTTGGGGCAGGGATGGCGAATTGGGCGGGGACGATATCGGGTCGGCTGGAACGGACGACCGCGCGGAATACGTAGATGAGAGCCCATACGCGGAGGGGGCGCAGAACCCCAGCCTCGATGGGCGCTATCTGCATGCTAACAACGGAATTCTGCAACCTGTGCGGTGCAGAATGCGCACCATCTGCGCGGAGCAGTGAGCGTGGCGCGACTCGTGCGACGCAGTCAACATGCTCCTCCTCCTCCTCCTCCTCCTCCTCCTCCTCCTCCTCCTCCTCCTCCAGCTCCTCCCTCCTCCCTCCTCCTCCTCCTCCCTCCTCCTCCTCCTCCTCCTCCTCCCTCCCTCCTCCTCCTCCTCCTCCTCCTCCTCCTCCTCCTCCTCCTCCCTCCTCCCTCCTCCTCCTCCTCCTCCCTCCTCCCTCCTCCCTCCTCCTCCTCCTCGTCCTCCTCGTGGTGGGACGTGCCCAGCTGGCGCGCGGTACGGCCCAGAGGCGGCCAGGCGCCGTCCTGAAACGTCAGCCAGCGCACGAGGCCATAGACAGGCGCTCGAGGGCGACGACCTGCCGAGGCCTCTTTGGCCGAGATCGCGTCGGGGAAACTTTAAGAGAGCTCCGGGGATACCACCACCCAAAATGGCCCAAGACGGGCCCAAGTTGGACCAGGCCTGTCTCAGACCAGACCTAAAACTCCCCAAGACGGTCCAAGACCGTCCCGAGAGGGGTCCATAACTTCCCCAAGACCCGCCGAGGCGCCCCAAAGATTTGTCAACCAAGACTCTTCGGGAAAGCTCGGTAGAACCATCGCGCCAAATACGGTATCGTGACCCTCGACGGCTCCGCAACCGCCCCTAGCCCTAAGAAGGACCCACAAGGCCCCAAACAAGCACCCAACGACGTTCCAATATGGAAAATTGCGGAGGCAGACATTCACATTGGGGAGCGAGGAAGGCAAGGAGGGAGAACCAAGAGAAACATAGGGCTGCGGGCAAGGAGGGAGTGTACAGGACCCTCGCAAGTGCAGGCATGGCACTGAACTGGAGCTAGTCTTAAACTCAACCTCCCCCCCCTGCTGTGCTGCTGTGCTGGCACGGTGGCGGGGGCTGCCGCAGGAGGCCGGAAGCGACGGCAAATCGTCACACGCTCCCGTCCTCCGTCCTCGTACATCCTTGTTCGTCTCTCGTATCGTACCGTTTCTTCCCTGCTGATTTGGACGCCCGAGATGGGCACGGAAAGGATGGGCACTGTGCCCAACAACCGGCCGCTGTTGGGCAGGCGGCTTCCTGTCTCGAATGGACACAGGCCGCGGCGGCGCGGACAGCGAGTCCTGCTCAAAATGAACAGGAGCTGCTGTTGGGCATGGTGCCCCTTCTGTCCGTACCCACTTCGGGCGTCCAGAGCCGAGGCGCATCCCCCCTGTAAGAACGGTTGTTTGAAGGCAGATCTGCCTTCAATAAGAACGGTTTTTTGAAGGCAGATCTGCTTTCAAAAAACCGTTCTTACAGATTTTTTGAAGGCAGATCTGCCTTCAAAAAACCGTTCTTACAGAGTAGACCTATTTTTTGAAGGCAGATCTGCCTTCAAAAAACCGTTCTTACAGAGTAGACCAGTTCCTCCTCCCCCCCAAACTGGTGAGCGCCTGCCTGTCCTCGCCCTCCACCTCCCCCCCCGCCGCTGCTGCTCCTCCCTCCGCCTCCCCCCGGCGGCGAGCGCGGCCCCCGTGGGCGATCAGCGCGGGCACCGCTGCGGCGAAGTCGCGGGCGCTCCTGGGCAGGGCGGTGCTCGGGGGTGCAGCAGGAGGAGGAGGAAGGAGGAGGAGGAGGAGGAGGAGGGAGGAGGAGGAGGAGGAGGAGGAGGAGGAGGAGGAGGAGGAGGAGGAGGAGGAGGGGAGGAGGAGGAGGAGGAGGAGGAGGGGAGGAGGAGGAGGAGGAGGAGGAGGAGGAGGAGGAGGAGGGGGAGGAGGAGGAGGGGGAGCATGGCTTCCCTCTCGCGCTGCCGCCCTCCACCGCCTGCCTCCTGCTGCCTCTCCCTCCTCGGTCCTCCCTCCCCCGTCCCGCCTGCCCTCCCTTCCCCCTTGCGCCGCGTCCTCGCCATCGCTCGGACGTCCACTCCGCGTGCAGTTTTCGGCTTCGCGCGCGCATTTTCGCAGGATGGCCCGAAAGGCTCCACGATGGCCCCCGCCCTGTAAGGAGAAGCACACGTCCGAGCGATGCCAAGAGCCTGGAAGGGCCGCCTCACTGCAGATCTTGGCGCGCGACTCGGCTGCGCAGCGGCCGCTTGGAGGCGCACCACGGCTCCTCCGCGGGCTCGATGGCGCTCGGCGGGTGCGCGGACGCCAACAAGGAGCCTTGGACGTGCAAGCTCTGCGATGGCCGGGATGGCAAGCCCCGCGTCCACAAGGGCTTCCACACCAGCTGCTACTCGTGCGGCATCGCCAGGGGCAGTTGCTTCCTCGCCAAGGTTCCCCCGACTTGCGCATCGCGATCGTCCCGACCGCTGGCGCTGGCGCAGCCTGAGCGCGAGCTCAAGGCCAGAGAGGCGGAGCTCAAGAGGAGGGAGGCGGCTGTGGCGAAGGCGGAGCAGCAGAGCAGACGGCATCTGAAGGCACGGAGGCCACGGCAGCCCCCGACCAGGCCACGATGGACAAGCTGCATGCGGGCATCGAGAAGTTGGAGGGCATGAAGGGCGGTGGTGGCGGCCACCTCGAAGCCCTCCTGGTCCAAAAACGGGAAGAACTGCGGGCCGTGCAGGATGCCCACCGGGCGTCCAAGCCAGTGCATGGACGCGGCACACGTTCTTCACTCGCCAACTCGTCGCAAACGGGGTCGCGCGCGAGCGGGCGCAATGTAGCTCTGCAGCCCTCGCCGAAGCGCCGCGCAGGCTTCGCACGGACGTGGCGATCCTGCTCGGGCGCAGCTCGCTCTTGGGCACAACTCCGCTCGCCCAAGTAGTCGCTGGGGACGGGGCCGCGCGCGAGCGGGCGAAACGTCGCCCCCGCCCGGGCTCCGTGAAGACCTCGCGCGAAAGTGGCGTTTTCCCGCCTCGGCGCGGTGCATCTCTCTCTCGCTCGCCGGGCCGCGAGAGCGAGCGGCCGCGAGGCCGCGCACGAGCGGGCGGAATGCTGCTCTCGCACGAGCGGGCGTGAAAGCGGCAGCGCTGCCTCGGCGCGTCGCGCGCGCTGCCTTCGCCACTCTCCTCGGCAATCCGGCCGCGCGGGCGATGGCTGAATCGCACTCTCGCCGTAGGCGGCGCCGCGCACAGGTGTTTTTCTGAAGCTCCGCTCCCGCCCCTGCGCGGGCCATGCTTTTCCCCCTTGCCAAGTCGTCGGGACAGGGACCGCGCGCGAGCACCTTCCGCTCGCTAGGTTGGAACATGAGCCGCTCTCAAAATCAAACTGCACCAGTGGCCGGCGGGAGTGGGCTGGGCCCTCTGACTCCTTCGACCTGCACGACTTGAAACCCTCGTTCGTCTCTTCCGCCTCCAGCTTCTCTCCCTCCGCCCCGCCCTTGAGCTATGTACTCCACATCCTCCACCTGGCCCTGTCTCCTCCTCCTTCTTCTCCTGCTAGAGGCTCGACGCCAGCCGCTGGCCCGTCACATGGTGCCTGGAGCAGGTGCCTGCCCTGGGCGATTGCCCAGGGCAGCCCGCAAGCTGACTAGGCAGCTGCAGAGCAAGTTTTGGGTCGGGCATGCGTTCCTACAGCCGGCTTTTGGACGACAAGTTAAACATAGTCGGAAAATATTCCAAAACCAAAATTCGTCCCCAGACTATTTTTGTCTGTTTTTGAATATTCCTCCTGACTTAAAGCAAGGACGACGGAGGCCCTGCAACTGAATGGGGGGGAGAGAGAGAGAGAGAGAGAGAGAGAGAGAGAGGGAAAGAAGTAGGGGACCTGGCTGTGGCGGGGCGCGGTGGGCCCGCGAGCGCGACGACGCGGGGGCCGAGGAAGGAAGTCGAGCCGATGGCCCGCGAAGGGAGAAGGGGGGTCGGAGGGAACTTTCTGTGGCAGCTCGCGGGGACCTCCCATGTCATCGTGCCAGCTCTTGCGGGTCGAGGCTGGGACTTGCAGTAGACGCTCATCGGCGCTACATCGACGCGCGGCGACGCTGAAGTGGCGCTTTCTTAACGAGGACCAGGCGCTAGCACACGCGAGTGCACTCGAAAGGTGGCATCCCGATGACATGCGAGGCTCCCGTCCTCGTCCTCCTCCAGTCCTCCTATTCCTCCTCCTCCTCCTCCTCCTCCTCCTCCTCCTCCTCCTCCTCCTCATCCCCGTGCCGAAGGTTCCCGCAGCTTGTGGGGTTCGTGCTTGTGAGGGACGCACGGGGCGCTGGTAAGATAGTGCGATTATTGCACTTTCAATGAGCACCCTCACGAGCACCCCGCAGGTTAGGGAACCGGGGCGACACCAGCAATCCATCTTTCTGGCTGTCGGTGGGTGTGCCTTCCACCTGGTCTGCCCGCGGGCAGCGAGTTGCATTCCCATTCGTTTATGGCTGTCGGTGGGGTGCCATCCACCTTGTCAAAGGCCCCTTAAAGGGGGCGGAGGGGGATGTGGGACCCAGGCCCCGTCGCGTCGTTGTCCATGGCTGTCGGTGGGTGGGCCTTCCACCGTTCTGGACCCGGGAGGGACTCCACGCGTGGGGCGCCCGGGGCGGTGCTCGGGGAGGTGCCCAAGGGTGCACCCACTGTGGTTCCCAAGGTGGTGCACAGGCCCATTGGGGGGGGAACCCTAGGTGGCGCCCGAGGTACCCAGGGAGGTACCCGAGGTGCCCGTTGGTTTCATGCACATGCTTATTGGGCGGAGTACCCGTGGCACCCATGGAGGCACCCGAGGTACCCAGGGAGGTACCCGAGGTGCCCAAATTGACGCCATGCACATGCTTATTGGGAGGGGTACCCGAGGGACCCAAGGAGGCACCCGAGGTACCCAGGGAGGTATCCGAGGTGCCCACTGTCATGCACATGCTTAGTTGTCATGCACATGCTTATTGGGAGTGGTACCCGAGGTACCCAAGGAGGCACCCGAGGTACCCAGGGAGGTACCCGAGGTGCCCAAGTGTTGTCATGCACATGCTTATTGGGAGGGGTACCCGAGGGACCCAATACCCAAGGTGCTCAATAGTTGTCATGCACATGCTTATTGGGAGTGGTACCCGAGGTACCCAAGGAGGCACCCGAGGTACCCAGGGAGGTACCCGAGGTGCCCAATTGTTGTCATGCACATGCTTATTGGGAGGGGTACCCGAGGGACCCAAGGAGGCACCCGAGGTACCCAGGGAGGTACCCGAGGTGCCCAATGGCTGTCATGCACATGCTTAGTTGTCATGCACATGCTTATTGGGAGTGGTACCCGAGGTACCCAAGGAGGCACCCGAGGTACCCAGGGAGGTACCCGAGGTGCCCAAGTGTTGTCATGCACATGCTTATTGGGAGGGGTACCCGAGGGACCCAATACCCAAGGTGCTCAATAGTTGTCATGCACATGCTTATTGGGAGTGGTACCCGAGGTACCCGAGGAGGCACCCGAGGTACCCAGGGGGGTACCCGAGGTGCCCAAGTGTTGTCATGCACATCTTATTGGGAGGGGTACCCGAGGGACCCAATACCCAAGGTGCTCAATTGTCATCATGCACATGCTTATTGGGAGGTGGTACCCGAGGCACCCCGAGGAGGCACCCGAGGTACCCAGGGAGGTACCCGAGGTACCCGAGGTCATGCCATGCGGTACCCGAGGTTGTTGTACCCACATGCACATGCTTATTGGGAGGGGTACCCGAGGGACCCAATACCCAAGGTGCTCAATAGTTGTCATGCACATGCTTATTGGGAGTGGTACCCGAGGTACCCAAGGAGGCACCCGAGGTACCCAGGGAGGTACCCGAGGTGCCCAATTGTTGTCATGCACATGCTTATTGGGAGGGGTACCCGAGGGACCCAAGGAGGCACCCGAGGTACCCAGGGAGGTACCCGAGGTGCCCAATGGCTGTCATGCACATGCTTAGTTGTCATGCACATGCTTATTGGGAGTGGTACCCGAGGTACCCAAGGAGGCACCCGAGGTACCCAGGGAGGTACCCGAGGTGCCCAAGTGTTGTCATGCACATGCTTATTGGGAGGGGTACCCGAGGGACCCAATACCCAAGGTGCTCAATAGTTGTCATGCACATGCTTATTGGGAGTGGTACCCGAGGTACCCAAGGAGGCACCCGAGGTACCCAGGGAGGTACCCGAGGTGCCCAAGTGTTGTCATGCACATGCTTATTGGGAGGGGTACCCGAGGGACCCACCCGAGGTACCCAAGGTACCCTCAAGTCATGCACATGCATGCACATGCTTATTGGGAGTGGTACCCGAGGTACCCAAGGAGGCACCCGAGGTACCCAGGGAGGTACCCGAGGTGCCCAAGTGTTGTCATGCACATGCTTATTGGGAGGGGTACCCGAGGGACCCAATACCCAAGGTGCTCAATAGTTGTCATGCACATGCTTATTGGGAGTGGTACCCGAGGTACCCAAGGAGGCACCCGAGGTACCCAGGGAGGTACCCGAGATGCCCAATTGTTGTCCGGCTGCCGGCGACCGGCTGGCCAGCGACCAGCGTCCGGCGCCCGGCGACCGGCGGCCCCATGCGGGGGACCGGCTTCCTCCTCCTCCTCCTCCTTTCGGGTCGTCCGTCGGCCTGTCGGCCGCGCTTCGGCGCATGCACCCTTACCCTTACCCTCCTCCTCCTCCTCCTCCTCCTCCTCCTCCTCCTCCTCCTCCTCCTCCTCCTCCTCCTCCGCCCCCTCTCCTGGCTACCGTGCGGCCGCCAGTGGCGAGCGAGGCTGCCAGGCGCAGCTGCAGCTGCGCCGCCGCCGCGAGGAGCAGCGGGAGCCTGCCGGCCCCCCCCCTCCCCCCACGGAGAGGCGGGCGAGGCCGACCTCGAGCGCGGTGGTACCCAGGCAGTGCCGGGGGGGGGTCTTTGGGTCGCCGCCTCCTCGAGGAGGGCGCGGCCTTCCCAGGGCCCCCCGAAGTGGCCACTGCTCAAGGCTTGGTGCCTTGGATCCAGGCCGCCTGCCGTCCCTTCGCCAACGTCGGACCCTGTGCAAGCACTCGAGCCTTCAGCGTGAACGGCTACCTGGGTCTGGTGGGAGGGGAGAACATAAGAGATTCCTTCTCTCTCCCCTCGGCCCTACCCCTCCCACAGCCTGTCCTTCCTTCCCCTCTGCCTCCCATTTCCATCCCCCTTCAGCACGCACTAGCGCCCTCATGCTCAAGTCGCTTCACTTCTGAAATCGTCAAAATTGGGGTGACACCCGCTGGCCAGGTGGGCGCGTGACCTTCCAAACCAGGTAGTTCCCTGGGAGTTCAGATTGGCAGGTGACCGTGGCCTGCCGACACTCGGAAATAACAACGAATCACGCTCTGGACGAACATGACAAAGAACGCCCGTCAGCGGCCAGAAAAAAAAACGCGACAAAATCCGCCACCGTGCCTTCATCACGTAGTGGAGTATCACAAGGCTCCTGCAACTGTGCGTCGTCGGCTTTTAGGATTCAAAAAGCATGGCACCCCCTCTGCCAAAAAACTCTTGGATGTCCTCGGGTGCGTAGCTGCGCGCTGGGCGAACATGAGGGGCAGCAGAGCGGGCCAACGGGGGGCCCCAAGAGCCTCCCGAGACGGTCTAAGGGGGCCCTGAGTCGCCCAATATCGCTCCATGACGCCCACGGTGGTCCCCACACGGCCCAAAGAGCCCCCCAAGAGATTCCCAAAGACTTCAAGAAGACCCTCAAGAAGGCCGAGATAGGTCAGAATCCGTGTTACATCCAAATTGGGGATATTGTGTTCTCTGCCCCCGACCCGCGCAAGATCTCCTCCTCCTCCTCCTCCTCCTCCTCTTCCTCCTCCCTCCTCCTCCTCATCCTCATCCTCATCCGCCTCCTCTTCCTCCTCTCTCCACAACTACACAGTATGAATCGAATTCTCCTCTCTCCCCTGCTGACGTCCAGAAGATATCCGCCCCCCCCCTCCGCATACTGTTCGTTACTCACAAGATTACTGGGAAATGGGTTGTTGCTTGGTTGTCTTAAACGTGTTGCTCCCGCTGAAGCGCTGGCTCCATCTCTGCACCTCTGGTTGTTCCAAATCGTGCTCCCGCTGCAGCGCGGGCGCGTTCGGTCCTTCCAGATCATCCCAAAAAACTAGAAAATGCCCCTCCGAAAAAAAGTCGGAAGTCATTCCACATCCAGTGTCGATTTAATTCCCTACCTAGGCTCTGCCTAGAAGGGTTCCTACTCGGTAAGCTTCAAGTGCCGGGCAGTGGGAACCGCCCCGGGCGGTTTCCCCGGCATCGGCCCCGCGGTTCCCCCAGTGACGTTCCCTTAGCTTAGCGTTGTTTATCTCATCTTAGCTTAGCTTATTCAATATTAGCTTAGCTTAGCTTCATCTTAGCTCAGGTCTCTTAGCTTAGCTTACCTTCAGATTAGCTTCGCTGAGCTTTAGCATAGCATAGCACAGCATAGCAGAGCGTAGCACAGCACAGCGCAGCACCGCATATCATAGCAAAGCCCAGCATAGCACAGCATAGCGCTGCATAGCGTAGCATAGCATAGCGCAGCACATCACAGCACAGCATGGCACCGCGCAGCATAGTAGAGCATATCGTATGTCATATTAGCTTAACTTAGTGACATAGTAGCTCAGGTGTATCTTAGCTTAGCGTACCTTCATCTTAGCTTCGCTGAGCTTTAGCATAGCAGAGCACAGCATAGCATAGCATAGCGTAGCATAGCGCAGCTCAGCATATCATAGCATAGCCCAGCATAGCATAGCATAGTGCAGCATAGCGTATAATAGCATAGCATAGCATAGCGCAGCACAGCACAGCATAGCACAGCGCAGCATAGCATAGCATAGCATAGCGCAGCATAGCATAGCATATCATAGCATAGCGCAGCACAGCATGGCATAGCATAGCATAGCATACCAACGAATGCTGCTTTCCTAGGGGCTCCAACTTCTAGGTAGGGTCGCACTGGGGTAATAATTGTTGCGGCCGCAGAACTCCCCCCACTTTGGGGCGGCGTCGCTTTCAGGAAGTATCAAGCGGGAGCCCCGTCTCTGCTTGAGAAGGCGATGTTGGAAGCAAAGCCAGCGGGTGCTCTCCATCAGCCCCGCCTCGTGTGGCGTTTTTCGGGGAGTCCAAGGAGCTAGACATGGAGCCACAACTCCAGACCGACGATCCACTTACCCTCCCAGGAACCCGGCGCCATGCTATCACATGCTGTGCGGTGTTGCGTTCTGCGCCGCTGTGCGATGCCGTGCTTTGCGTTGCAATGCTTTGGGATGCAATGCTTCACTGCGAATGCCACCCCATGCTATGGCATGCTACGCTCTGCCGTGCTCTTCTACGCAATGCCATGCCGTCCTCTCACATGCATCGCATACCATCTTGCGATCATTACCCTGCTCGACATCCGACTGTGCGAATAGAGAGGGTCATACGCCATGGTAAGGGATGGGAGGGAGGGGTAGCACGTCAGATATGACGCGAGAGCACCTAGCTTGTCCTCCTCTCTTCTCTCTGCCTCACTCACACACACGCACTCATCATCGTCGTCAGCATCATCATCAACATTACCATCAGCAGCATCATCAGCACCATCACCATCAGCATCAGCATCAGCAACAACATCATTATCATCATCATCAACATCTGCATCATCATCATCATCATCATCATCATCATCATCATCATCATCATCATCATCATCATCATCGTCATCAGTATCACCGGCAGCATCATGATCAGCATTGCCACCACCATCACCATAAGCATCAACATCATCAGCATCATCATCATCACCATCAGCATCAGTATCAGCATCATCGTCATCATCATCATCATCATCATCATTATCATCATCATCACCATCCTCATCGGCAACATCACACGCACTCATCATCATTACTCATCATCACCACACACACTCACATACTCACCTTGTGGAATCTCTCTAGCGGGGGGCCCATCCCTATGGGGCCCGCGCTTCATGCTGGCATCCGGGCGGGTCATCGGCAAACTTTGCCAGGCATGCCATGAAGCTCACCGAGGGGGCAACTCGTGTGGACGTCTCCAGCGGGGGCTTCGTCTGTGAGTGAATTGCGAGAACGTCTCGGGCGACCAGGCAAAACACTTAAGCACCTCAAGAGGGCCAATCGTGAGGATGTCTCGAGCGGGGGCCTCTTTTGAGAATGATTTGCGAGGACGTCTCGGGCGGGAGCCCCTCCCTATGGGGCCCGCGCTTTATGTTGGAATCCGAGCGGGCAATCGGCAAACTACACCATACCACTTAACCACCCCAAGGCAGCCAATCGTGAGGATGTCTCGAGCGGGGGCGTCGTCTGTCAGTGAATTGCGAGGAAGTCTCGGGCGGGAGATCCCTCCCTATGGGGCACGCACTTCATGTTGGTAATCCGAAAGGGTCATCGGCAAACTCTACCAGGCTCGCCGTTTAAGCACACCAAGGGGGCAACACGTGAGGATGTCTTGAGCGGGGGCCTCGTTTCTGAATGAATTTCGAGCAAATCTTTAGCTGAAGCCGTTTCCGTATGGGGCCCACACTTCATGTTGGCAATCCGAGCGGGTCATTGGCAAACTCGACCAGGCATAACTCTTGAGCACCCCACGGGGGCAAATCGTGAGGATGTCTCAAGCAGGGGCCCCCCTTCCTATGGGCCCAAACGTCATATTGGCAATTGGGCTCCTCCGCCGGTCTGAATTTGCCCTCCCCATAGGGCCCCCACCTCCATGTTGGAATCCGAGGATGAGGATAAGGATCAGGATGAGGATGAGGATGCTGCTGATGATGAAGATGAAGGCGATTATGCTGCTGCTGATGGTGACGACGCCAATGATGTCGATGCTTATGATGATGCTGCTGATGACGATGACGATGACGATGACGATGACGAGGACGATGATAGCGATGATGATCATGATGGTGATGATGATGATGATGATGATGCTGCTGATGATGAAGATACTGATGATGATACTGATGACGATGCTGATGAAGATGATGCTGGCGATACTGATGATGATACTGATGACGATGCTCCTCCTCCCTTGGCCTCGTCCTCGTCCTCGTCCTCGTCCTCGTCCTCGTCCCTCCTCCTCCTCATCCTCCTCCTCCTCCTTCTACCTCCCTCTTCCTCCCTTGGCCTCGTCCTCGTTCCTCCTCTTCTTCCTCCTCCTCCTCCTCCCTCCTCCTCCTCCCTCCTCCTCCTCCTCCTCTCCTCCTCCTCCTCCTCCTCCTCCTCCTCCTCCTCCTCCTCCTCCTCCTCCTCCTCCGCCTCCTCCCCTCCTCCTCCTCCTCCTCCTCCTCCTCCTCCTCCTCCTCCGCCTCCTCCTCCTCCTCCTCCTCCTCCTCCTCCTCCTCCTCCTCCTCCTCCTCCTCCTCCTCCTCCTCCTCCTCCTCCTCTCCTCCTCCTCCTCCTCCTCCTCCTCCTCCTCCTCTCCTCCTCCTCCTCCTCCTCCTCCTCCTCCTCCTCCTCCTCCTCCTCCTCCTCCTCCCCTCCTCCTCCCTTCTCCTCCTCCTCCTCCCCCTCCTCCCCCTCCCCCTCCCCCTCCCCCCCCCACCTCCTCCTCCTCCTCCTCCTCCTCCTCCTCCTCCTCCTCCTCCTCCTCCTCCTCCTCCTCCTCCTCCTCCTCCTCCTTCTCCCCTCCTCCTCCTCCTCCTCCTCCTCTTCGGGCGCGCTGGGGAGCCTATTGGGGCCCTCTTGGGCTCTCTTAGGGCCCTCGGGGCCCGCTTGGCCGTCGCGGGGCCGCCTGGGGGGCATCTTGGGCCGTTTTGGGCCCCTTTGGGGCTGCTCTGGGGCCGTCTTGGGATGATC